TGTTTGTGGCGGAGTGATTTAGGTCAGTGGCTTAAGACCACTTGAACCTCACTTGATGCAGGTTTGAATCCCACTTAGAAGTCTCTCATGTGAGGAAGCTAGCATAATTCAGCTAGCTTTCTGAATGTTGGTGGTTCTAACTCAGGTGCCCATTAGTGTTTGAATGAATGCATTGACAGACACATGAGGTCTTCCTCCACCAGTAAAGCTGGAAAGTCGCCATATGACCTTTACAGTGTTGATGAGACAAAAAAAAAAATTCTGTTCTGTTCAGTTGTGCCCCGTTTTTAGCTCGACTATTCGCAGAGTAATCGAGCTAATGCAGTCACCCATTTGTCGGCGTCCCTGTGGTTAAGTTTTTGCATGTAAACTGGTATCTCCATAACTACTGAAGGGAATGAATTGAAACTTAACAAACTTGTTACCTGTGATTATCTAAGATGATTGGCACAAGTCCCATAACTCTGATTTGCTTTTTTACAAATTATGCCCCTTTTTCGACTAAGAAATTCTTGGTTAAGTTTTTGCGTGTAAGCTGGTATCTCCATAACTACTGAAGGGAATGGATTGAAACTTCACACACTTGTTCCCTGTGATTATCTAAGATGATTGGCACAAGTCCAATAACTCTGATTTGCTTTTTTACATAATTATGCCCCTTTTTCGACTAAGAAATTCTTGGTTAAGTTTTTGCGTGTAAGCTGGTATCTCCATAACTACTGAAGGGAATGGATTGAAACTTCACACACTTGTTCCCTGTGATTATCTAAGATGATTGGCACAAGTCCCATAACTCTGATTTGCTTTTTTACATAATTATGCCCCTTTTTTGACTTAGTTAGCTTGTATTTTTGCTTGTTAGACGGTATCTCTGAAGGGTTTGTACCTTTTCGGACAATTTTATGTACTCATATAGGTAAGCATTATTATACTCAATGAAACACCCTTGTGACAACTTTTCGAATAGTCGAGCGTTACTGTCCTCCGACAGTTCTTGTTTGCATTGCACAGCTAAGCCTTTGAACTAAAATCAACTCATCTCATATATATGTTTATGATTAAACAACTAAGTTATTGGGGGGGGTGAAATTTTAAATGAGGTAGTTTAAGACATGTTGTTAAATATAAAAGATATGTATTTTAATTGATATATCAATGTATACCTTAATTGTTTTAGATGAAAGCTCAGGTAAGTATTTTGATAAAATGCTTGGTGTTTTGTTAGTTGTTTTACTTTTTTTAACTTTTTGAAATTTAGAGATGTTATTTACATTGAGGTGAATGCTTTTGAAAAACAAATATATTAAAATTCAGGGATTTTTTTGCACTTATTTAATTGCCAATATTCTGCCATATTATTTCATAATTTAAATGGTTTACCTCAATATGATATATGTTCATGGAAATTAAAGTCATTTCATCCATAATTATTTTCTTACAATAGCGTATGAACTTACAACTTAAAGAGATCAATGGCAAAATGAAGTCATCATAAGCACATATTTCCCTTTCTAAAACGACATCATTTTAACGCAGTTCATTCATAAAGTGTGCTAAAACGACGTTTGTTTGGCATGCGACTCATCTGGCATCCCCAATGCCAGATGAAATTTCCGGCATGGGTAAAACTCACGGAAACGCCAGTCTGCTATGCAGGAAATTATGTGCAATTGATGACCATGCTTTAATGAAATAATGTTTACGCAATCATCATTCATTATATTACAATAGGTGTTTAATTTTAATCATTTCTGTCAGTACAATAGTATCACTGGCATTTGAAATGTTGAAAATGTTGAAAAAAGTTATTGGAATTTTGAAAGTGTTGAAACAGTTATCAAAAATGTTGAAACTGGTAACAAAAATAAATAAAATATTGTAATTGTTTAAAAAAATATCAGAAAGTTGAAACTTACTGTTTAAATTAGCGAAATGTTGAAATAGTAAATGAAATGTTGAAATAGTTAATGAAATGTTGAAATTGTTGAAAAATTTAGTCAGGTTAGCAACATTGGTCTGCTGAGGCCTACTTGTTTTAGCTCACCTGAGCTCAAGGTGAGCTATTTTGATACCCTTGTGTCTGTTATATCTGTTGTTTGGTGTCTGTTGCACATAGTTAACATTACGAGTGATGAAACTATACAGGAATGATACATAGATGTGTCTTTTTACAAATTGCTCAAATGCTTCCTATAAACCGGTCTGTTGAATAAGATGGCTGCCTGTGCTAAAGATAGAGGTGAAGTTTTAAATAACATCTTATCCTCAACCGCTCAATAGATTCAGATGAAACTGTACAGAAATGATCATTTTAAAGGCAGTCCTTTACTAAAATCGCTAATTTTACTAAAATCGCTAATATTGTTCCGTATGGTGCTATTAATGGCTCAAATGGTTCAGGTCTGCTGAACAATATGGCTGTCAGATCAAAAAATAAAAAAGAAAACTGTTGTACTCAACCGCCCAATAGATTTCTGATAAAACTATACAGGAGTGGTTGTTTTATGGTCCTCTATAAAAATTGCTTAATAGATGGTTCTGGTCTGCTGAATAAAATAACCAACCAGTGCTGAACTACTCAGGTGAGTGATTACAGGCCATCATAGCCCTCTTGTTTATTTAATCTAACAATTTCTTCAATTTTCTGTAGTTAAGTGTTAGAAGTTGATGTTTTTTCTTAATGTTAGATTGTGTTACATTGATATTGTCTAGAAAATTTTATAAACAATTTCTTTAACATTTTTATAACATACTTTAGTTTAAAAGTTTGAAGCACTGTTGTGTCAATAAAAACAAAATAGAATGCTAGCATTGATGCACTAGTATCGCCCTTGCCATCATAAATCTTCCATAGAAGAATTAAGATTTTTTTTTCTTCCACAACATATAGTTTTTGTTGATAAATCTTTAATAAATCTTTAAACACATCTCCACCTGAACCTACCTAGTGCAGCAACCTAAATAATGGTTATGTTGTCCGAACATCTGCCTGACACAGATGCTGCTGTGCCAATAGTAGGGACTGGTCATCCAATACTTCCCCTACCTAAAAGAACCAAAAGCTTATATGAATGAAATCACCAAATCACTTGGTAAAAAGTAAATTTGTAAGTTATAACTTCTTTTTCTATCAATATCATATTGAATAAAATACTAGATTGGTACCAGGGTAGTAAAGACGGATATGGATACCAGCCAGAAAGGATCCAATACCTGGGGACTGGATGCTCATCCATGCCCTTTTCCATCCACTGTTTTTGCTTACAGTAAAATACCATCTAACCTCATAACACATAGGACCATGCCACTATTTGGGCCGTTTTCAAAAATTATAAAGGCAGAAAAGACCCGTTACCTGTGTTTTTGAATACTGGTCCATGCCCTGTTTTTGCTTTAAACTTTATATGACCTAGTTTTTGGAAATAAAGTTGACAGTAGAAGCAATGTTTTTATTTATTAATATATAATATTTTGCACAGGTTTCTTGGATATTTATATTTTTGTAATCATATAAACTTTTCTTGATGTACAAGCTTAGTACTTGAAATATTTGATATACATGATTGTACTTATTGTTTTCAGATATAATCTTTTATTTGTTCTTTTGTTATTTCTTCTATTCCTTAATATGTATTTTATTCAAAGTGCAAGTTTATGGGTGAATTTTTCAGTCATTTACTTTAATTTTTAAATGCATTTATGTAAGATTGGTGAATGCTCTGTAAATTGTATGAAATATATTATGTACATTTATCAATCATTATCTTATAAGATCAAAACAAAATGCTTATATAATATTTTGGTCCCCTGACCAAAACCCCCTTTTTTCCCCAACTCATAAACATTTTCTTGCAGTCAGGTTATAAATAACATGCCCATTTAAGTATTGGGGTTCATTTGTTTTTTTGTCTGCATGTTAACAAAACTGTCCTTGCATTTCAGTTTTGTATTTTATTACTTAATTACTTTTATATTTTATTACTTATATATTTATGTGTCGCCTCTACGGAGTAGTGGCGACATATAGGGATCACTTCTCCGTCCTCTGTCTGTCCGTCTGTCTGTCCGTCTGTCCGTCACAAAACTTGTCCGGACTACTCCTCATAAACTACTGGTGCAATTTCATCCAAACTTTACAGGAATGATAAGTACCAAGTCTAGATGTGCATATTGTTAGCATTTTCCGGTTAAATGATTTTTGGCAGAGTTATGGCCCTTTAATAATTTTTAATTTTAAAGTTTGTCCGGACTACTTCTCTTATACCACTAAAGCAATTTCTATGAAACTTTACAGGATTGATCTATAGCTCAAGTCCTTGCGCATATTGCAAGGGTTTTCCGGTTGAATGATTTTTGGCCGAGTTATGGCCCTTTGATAAAAAGGTGTTTTTTTCTGTGTGTTGCCAGATACACAAAAGCTTGTCCGGACTACTCCTCATAAACTACTGGTGCAATTTCATCCAAACTTTACAGGAATGATCAGTACCGAGTCTAGTTGTGCATATTGTTAGCATTTTCCGGTTCAATGATTTTTGTCAGAGTTATGGCCCTTTAATAATTTTTATTTTTAAAGTTCGTCCGGACTACTTCTCTTATACCACTAAAGCAATTTCAATGAAACTTTACAGGATTGATCTGTAGCTCAAGTCCTTGCGCATATTGCAAGGGTTTTCCGGTTGAATGATTTTTGGCCAAGTAATGGCCCTTTGATAAAAAGGTGTTTTTTCTTTGTGTTGCCAGATACGTCGCAAAAGCTTGTCCGGACTACTCCTCATAAACTACTGGTGCAATTTTATCCAAACTTTACAGGAATGATCAGTACCAAGTCTAGTTGTGCACTGTCTGTCTGTCTGTCCGTCTGTCACAAACTTTGTCCCAACATGAAATTGGCCATCATGAGGCGACACATGGGATTACTGATCGCTCTTGTATTACTTATATATTTTATTACTTTTATATTTTTATTATTTTTATATGTTATTACTTTTATATATTTTCAGTGCGAGACGAATCCCATTGAGAGGACGACATTCATCACGGAATTTATTGATAAATATTTTGAAACTGACGATGAAGGTATGTTGTCTATGAATTAAATATTAGACCTACGATTTAAGTCCATATTGTCACCTTTGTGCAATAATGAACTGGTAAACCCCTATTAGATTTAGAAGGACTGCACAATATGTGGAGTTCGAAATGATCATCTGAGGAAATGTCTTAATTTAAAATTCTCTGCCATTTGTTGTCTGTTGAATTTAATAGATAGGTATTGCAGAAAAAAATAGCACTGTGCCCTGAGAAATGAGTGTGCTATTATTATGTGATTATTCATAATGATAAACTCAAGTCTGCAAAGAAAAAGTTGCTTTTTAGCTCCACTTTTTTTCAAAGGTACTTAGAATGTGAATAGAAAGAAGTACTTGAAGTTGTACTTCGTATATGAGAGATCTTAAATAGTTGCTTATGAACATCGTATCACTTGACAACGACTGATGTGGGTTTGAATCTTTAACCAAGTGAGGAACCTAATAAGAAGATAGTCAACAAGTCTACCCAGATATCTGCTTGTACCTGAATTAATGCATGTGGGATGAGGAAACCTGAGCTCTTTGATTTTCACAAGTAAAGCTGAAAACTTGCCATATACACAAATTATAATATGTTTTATTAATATTAAAGGCACTCCACTGATGTCCAAAAGCCTAAAACATAATATCTGAATTTCGTAGGGGTACTTTAAACTCAGAAATAAATTAAAAATCCTGTTTTTGTGCAATTCTTAACCTGATTTGAATGAAAAATGCCACACTTTTCAATTTTGGTTCATTTTTCACTTAAAACTATTTATTTTGGAAAAAATGGAGTGAATGAAATTCAATGATCTGAAATTTTTCACACAAGTTATTGGTCAAATGGGACATTAATTTTAAAAAATTGTTTCCAGTCCCGTCATGTCAAAATATCTCAGTGGACTAGTGAAGTCCCTTTAACATGTTTTAACTGGATGTTGTATGATTTATTTACAGTTGACTATATCAGTGCACCGTTCAAGATGAACAAGATTGACATGTTTGAAGGTTATGACAATCCCACTTACTTCTTCCGTCCAGCAATCAGGTCACTTCTCGTAAGTATTGGAGTAAATTACGTGTAAACTGTTTTCTTATTGTAATGTAAATTTGAATTCCAATAAGAATACAGTAAAAACTCTGAAAACCGGACAGCAAATTTAAGTGTCAACTTTCTGTGTATTTTAATGTAGATTAAAGCATAATCACAACAGGTGACATATTCATTTACCACCTTTTTATCTATGCAGGTGTGAAAACACTTGTCAGTGTGTGTTAATTTCTTATTGGCAATTAAATTGTAGTTCTTTCATCATAAATGTGTCTTTCTCTGTATAGGTATGATTTCAAAATGTTTTTAATTTGTTAAGGTTTCCTTGATATTAAATGTAGAAAAGAACTGGGAACCTTTTATTAAATGATTCCTGTTTTGTTTAAAGTTTTGAAGTTATCTTAGTTTGGACATTGTTTAAAGTTTTGAAGTTATCTTAGTTTGGACAACAATTTTATGCCAAAATAGTAATACTAAATATCATTAATTACATATTTCAAAAGCCAATGAAAAAGATATAATAATATGAGCCGTGTCATGATATTTCCAACATAGTGGTCAAATGACGTAATCGTAAAAACGCGATGTCAAAGTTGACGCCAATATTTCTTAATGATATAGCGCGTGCTTTTCCAATCATGTCTATGTAGTTTTCCCTCCTCAATGATGACATTATTCCGCTGTTAAACTCATTTTTTAAGTAACAACTGCGCTGATAAACTTTTTCGGGAAACCTTTAACCCTTGACAGACATTTGCTCAATCGTAATTTAAGTACCATAAGAAAATGAAATTCAAGGAAATTTATGAGTAGACAATTTTAATTTTATCTGTTCAAACGACACTTGATATATTGTCCTTGTGACAGTGAACACTTTCAGGGCTTACTTAGACAACAATCCCATTTAGTCTTTCGATTGTTATTTTATTTCCACTGTCAAGTTGTTTTCCAAGTATTTCTCTTTAATCATATACATGTATATAGTAACATGTAGGGGCTGATTTACATTATATAAATCAGAATAAACACTTTAATGTCGATAGAATAAGGAAGATATTACATTACGTTGGTATCATTGTTTAACTTAACCCATTACTTCATATACACGCCTTTTAACGCCTTTTTCACCCCCCCCCCCCCTTTTTGTTGTCTCAAATGATGAAAAATGCCTTATTTAGGCCCCAAACACTTGTTTTTGTTTGAGAAATGTTGTTAAAAAAAGTGACCTCTTTTTCGGCGCGGCCCCCCAACCAAAAGATACATCAGGGGGTTGCCAGAAGGGGGATGTGCCCCCTTCTGTTTGGGGGGGTTTGAAGGGGGGCGGAGTCCCCCTCATCGCCAAGAAAATTTTGGACTTGTGAGAGGCTGTAAATGACCCCAGATTGATCATAAGGTAACATGTAACCAACGTTGAAAAGCATTTGACTCTATCTCAATCCATTGAGAAGTTGCAGCACTTTGAAATCAATTTTGATGGAAAAAATCAACGCAAAATAGTGATTTTTGGCAATTTTGAGATGTCCCCTCGTTGCCATGGTAACAGAAAATTTAAGCCTGATCATGTTGTTGCAAGGGCAATGGTCCAGTCAACATTTGTGCCAAGTTTGATTAGTGTTGAAGCAGTTTTTATAGTATTATAGCAATTTGAACTTGTAACGGGAGACTTTTCAATGAAAACAGCCATTTTTCACAAAATGCTCATGAAGTAATGGTTAACGGACATAAAATAATAAAAGTATATAATTAAGAGACAATTGTTCTGTTAAGTGAATGTGAGTAAGACACTTAAAGTTGTTGAAATACATTCCTGCTTTATATAAAATTAAATGGGAAGAAAATAATCTGAAATAATTTTGTCTTGTTTTATAATAATTATTGCAATACCAGTTTTGGTCTCTGAGAATATGGCATCGTAAATTGATGAAAGAAGCCGGAAATAGATAATAATCAGGTAAAACTGAATGAAAATTGAGTGATTCTGACTAAATCGGATAATTTCAGTAAAACTTCAGCTACGTGCTGAATGACACCCAAAAACATAGTATTAAGATATTGAAATCATTAAATTCTTTAAAATTTCATTATTAAATATAATGTTATGATGTCGTTAAAGCAGCATACCTCAAGATCCATGTTTATTTTCATAACAATGCGGACAATGTATTTAAAAGTACAATATTGTGAAGTGAACAAAGGAAGCAGTTTACACATTGCAAACGACACTTACAATCTACGTAAATAGTCCCTACTGTATTATATTGTTGACTGCTTTGTTTTTCTTTTTGTTCTTGTTTTTTTTTCAATATGGTATACATGTATACATATACATTTATATAATCACACAACGGCGTGACAAACTATCAACATGTCCATACGCACTGAAAAATAAATCTCTTACTTCTTTGTGTGATATAACATAGCATTTTTACAGAACAACTAAATATCCTCTATTTACATGTACGCACATTTTTGAGTAAAACGTTTATGACTTTTCATGTTAATAACGCCGTTGTAGAACCTATCAGATGACCTTCGTATCGACCATTATTCCAGAACAATTTCTCGTAAAGAAGACGAATATTACCTAAGCTTGACTGAGCATTCAGATTTTTTTTCACCATATTTCTTCAGCGTTACTAACACAGCAAGGGCATTTTTTATAAAATTCTAAAATTTTCATGAAAATTAGAACAAAAATCTTGAGCATGCTGCTTTGAGGATATGATGTCACAGTTACGCAGTATTTAAATTGTATGTTTATATCATGTCTTATATATCATAAAAGTGATATCTCATTTTTTATTTATTCCTGCAATTTTTTGAAACATAAATGTTGGTATTTCTGTTCACATTCATTACCTGAGTATTTTGACCTTATATAAGGATGGTTCCACATACTATATTCAAAAATGCACATTGATATATTGACATCATATAAAGACACATTGACATCAAATATTGTTCAGTTGACTACATATAAAGATGGATCCACATAATATATTAATGAGTGCACATTGTATACGGAAAGGTTGACTCAATATATTGCTAGTTGTACATAACAACGTTCAGGTTTATAATAATAAGACAGTCAAGGCTTTCCATATACTTGTATATGTCTATTCGTGCAACAAGTTGTTACATGTACTTAAGATGGCTTACAATTGACACGGTACTCTTTAACAATAAAAATGTGAGCTTCGTCACGTTAATAATTAACATGCTAAGATACATGTATTTAGAAGTATATGTCAAGCAAATCGATGAGTCAGTTTATTCACGTTGCATTTTTAATCCGTCAAATAAAACGACGTCACTTATAATGTTAAAAAGCGTTATAAATCAAGTTTTCTTTGTCTAAAGATAATAAAATTTGTCTTGAATGATTTAGAAAAGATTGCATTTTGAGAATCTTTGAAAAAAGTAAAATGTCAAATTTGACCACTATGTTGGAAATGTCATGTCACGGCTCATATATTTCAGACAATGTGTTGTTTTAATTTCTAATTTTCTGAGCTACATTCATGGATTTGCATAATAAAATTACTTAAGATTAATATCGCAAAAAAATATGACTTAGACAAAAGGGTTGAAAAGTTAATACAAAATGATTAAACAAATTCATTGTTCAAACATATCATATTCATCAATAAATGTATAAAACCTCTGAAAACCGGAATCCTCTGAAAACTGGACTTTTGGTCAAGTCCAGGTAGGGTCCGGTTTTAAGTGTTTTTACTGTATACTAAACAATTTTTTTTTTTTAAATTTTATTGGATTTTTTCATATGATGAAGCTATCCAACTAACTAAGGAAGGTCTGTGGTTCTACTCACGTGCCCATGCACGCATGTTGAATAAGTGTAGGTTGAATAGCGAATTTATTGAACGAGTTGAATATAATTATATTATGCTATCTTCTGGCGAGAATCATATTACTTTATTCAACGAGTTAAATAAATTCAGTAATGAACCTACACAAAATTAATTTAATATTCTATTTATCACATACACAAAATAAAGACTGTTTAAATTGCAAGTGAATCATTTTTCATTGACATGCCTATAATGTGACGCTAACATTAGCATGTCTTTACAATATGTTTGTATAACCCAAATGACTTCTCATCAACATATATGCTGGGCCGTGCAATACCATTATTATAGAGTCCCAGGCACATGTATGTGATAAACCCTTTTCCCATTTCTTACATCTGAAACTTACTTAATATTGAATGAAAAATTTCTTTTCTGTATTATTAGCAGTTACCATGCTTCATATTAATTCATCACATTTAGGGAATCTTTCAGAATAGTTATTCACTGAACACAACCAGTGCAGACCATGATCAGAGGTCACAGATGTGAAGGCTGATCGTGGTATGCACTGGTCGCATGGGTCTGTTGCCGCCAGCAGGCCAATGATTAAATGTAAAATGAAAAAGAAGGAAAAGTTTTAGTCATATGTTCTCAAGAGTATGCAGATTAGAACTCAAGACCCTTTACAAGAACTTGTACATATTTGCAATCTTATTGTTGCGAATTGTGCTTATAATATGCATGTGCCATGCGTGACATTAGAGAACGTCACTTCCTATGTTTTGTATTGTGAAACGTTAGTAAACTTATAATAAAGGTATAAGTCAGACACAACATGTTGTTCATTATTTTCTGTAGCATAACACCCTATCCATTACTTATAATATATTTCCCCAATTTTAGCAAATCACTTCACAAATTCACAATCTCTAACATATGGGGTTGTTATTTTTGTGAAGAAAAAAGAAACCACCCTAAAATATATATTTTTATTTCATTTTATTTCCTCATTTTTTTTCCAGACACATCACATTCTGAATAACATTGATGTCAGGGACAGATCAAAACAAGGGGAGAAGATAGCTGAAAAGTTTCAAATAGGTATACATGTACAATATTACATAGTGTCTTTTTTCCAACCTTTATATTTATATTTCCCCACCTGGCGCAAGCTAGGTTTTTTGGTATCTTTTTTATTTAAGTATTGGCTTAGTTATCAGTGCTGCATTTCATAGATAGTCCCAAGTATTGTGAGTACTAGGACATAAGACCAACTTTAAGACTAACTTAAGACCATTTCAATACACAATTTTATCTTTATCCATGGACTAGAATTTAATTAATTTTATTCTTCTGTGAAAGGGTTAAGAAATACAATGGCACATGCTTTAATCCACTATGTGCATATGCTATTGAAAATTTTAATGAGTCATAAGAAGGGAGTCAAAAGTGAGGACATTTTCTTTGAAATGCAAAATTTTCTCCCTTATGGTCTTAAGACTGATTGCAACCAAGGTCTCAGTGTGCCTTTAACTTATTAAGAGTTTAAAGCAATAAAGATTTTGTCTATAGGTATAGAATAGCCTGTACATGTGTGCAGACTCTATATAGTGTTGGGTTCCTGACTTTAGCATTGTGAAATAGGAATTTCTTAAATCAACAGCACATGGTTTTGATTACAAGCTAGGCAAGTACAATATACACAGTGACATTTTACAGCATGAAGGTTAAAGGTTTTCCTAAAATGCATGGTTTGAGTGGATCACAGGTGGTTGGGTCAAGCATTAAATTTTAGTTTTTGACTTTGCATTTCCTACTTATATTCAAAGTTGATGGAATGCTAAGTTTAAGCTAAAAAACTAAATTGAAATTGTCCTCAAGATAGTTGGGTTAAGCTTTCAATTTTAGTTTTTAACTTTACATTTTTTTTTACTTATTTTATATTTTAAGGTGTTAGAATGCTAAGTTGAAATATCTCTCAGATATAAAAATGTTTGGAAGGATAAGTTGAAATAGTCCTCAAGATATTAAATGGCTAAAAAAAGTGCCCAATATATTTAAGGGTTGAAAATGCAAAATTGAAATATAGTGCTTTGAAATGGTTAATTGAAATATTTTTGGGTTTAAAATGTGAAATTTAAATAATTCTCAAGGTTAGGTCCTCAAGAAATTATGGGGTTTTAAATGCTATACTGTATACAATTAGATATAGATACAGGTACATGTATATATTTAATATACCATTACATTGTATCAATATATAATATACAATTATGTTAAAAATATAATGTATGATCTATAAAGGTAAGAGAACAGGTATCATATGAATATTTTAAATTATTGTAAATTCCTAAAAATTTAAGAGAATGATGGCCAGGTTTCATTGATGAGGAGGACTTCAGATCTACCAGGTTAGTTTCCTACCCTGTGTTCTAAATGCTTAAAATGTGCCGCATTGCTTTGTCAGGAAAATAGATTGTAATTTCCGAGTGCATTATTGAAGAATAATATTATGTAACAACTGCACATATAACTATGCACTGACTCAAGTTACCATACAAGTTCAATAAGATGCCATTGCTTCTTGTTCTTTGAGCATATAAGAATGGAAAACTATATTGATTTCTTTCATACTACAATTATTTTGTTTACATTAATATCACCTGGAGTTGAGGTCAATGTCACTTTCTATTGACTGTCATGTGACCACTTCTTGACCAATTGCAACACAAGGAAATCATAATATGTAATATAACATACAGTATTGCATGGTGGCGATTGTTCAGATGAAATTATAAATTGTACTTAGACCAAAGGCCTACTGAATTTAAACTGTGAACTGTAATACAAAACAACAAGATTTCCAAAGAAATCACTTGGAATCAAACTCTGTCCACTTTTACCTTAAACCTGCTGGAACCAAAAGTGATTCGACTTTGTCATCAGTACAGATGTGAGCGGTTTAAGTCTGACTAGGCTTTACACTGTTGATAGCTTTCTTTTAATATTGAAATCCCTTAAACTTTGAAAGAACTGTTCCGAATGGTGTCCATTCAGCTTAATAGGTCTAAGAGCTTTTGGCTGTGAGTCGGGCGACTGGGTTTGATTCCTTCAGGTCACTTTCATTGTAATTCATCAATCTTTTCTGTGATCATTCACACTGAACCTCTGCTCCTGCATGTACAGAAGTAATCAGTTCTTTGTGAAAAGTGAAGGCAACTAGTACTGGTAAGCTGCTTGACTGTGAGTATGCCCAGGAAAGATACCGTGGCTGAACTGAGCTCTGGTAAATTTTATGTGGCTTACTGCCATGATCCGTGGTGAAAACTACTAACACCACCACACCAAGCACTATTCAAAAAGTCAAAGCGATGCAAATATCATGGTTCAAAGTAGTAGGTTCAGGATTATATTATAATTTTGCCTGATAAAGGACAGAAAACGTTGTTTTAGGGCTTATTGATGTTTATTTATTTGGCAATTCAAATTGCAAGTACATAATCTTGTAAAATTACAGATTCTTGCATAATGTTATAATTTGCTTGCAGTGGTAGAAATTTTAATTTTGCACAGACTGAAAGTACAGGAATTCTACAAATCATCTTCTTTCTTTTCTTCATTGTCACTTTGTTTGACACTGAGTTCACTTATCTTGCTTTCTATAACCTTTTCCTATTCCCAAGCTTAATCAGTCTCAGGGTTTTAAGGCTTTTTGTTGAAGTGAATGCACAAATGCTGCTTAGTGTTATATCTAAAAATAGTAACAGTTCAATGCTGGTAAACATTGCTGTGTATGATCTTTGAAGTAAATTTATTAATTCATATAAAAATATGAAAGCCAACTTGTTTTTCAGCTAGGATGCTGTGTTTTTATTTTATAACCAACACCATGCTAAATATCTGAATTTGTAACCTTGCCCAACCTTTCCACCTGGACAAAGTCATTTATCATTTTTGGCATGGCTCAGACCCTATGTGATCTTGGTCTAAATTGGTTTCATGAGTTGCATAAAGCCAACAGGCTTAGTAATTATAACTATATATAGAGCATACTTGTAATGTAGTTTTTCAGTGGATAATCATGATGTTTATATAATCTATATACAAGGGCCGGCTGCAATTGATTAATGAAATAATTTCATTTACTCTAATGGAGAAAGTTTGCAATATTATAAGTAAGTTATAAAGATTCTTAAGTTTAAAAGGTTATATGGCCATTTATGATACTGTAACATTTTTCATTGGATAATCCTTAGTATAATGTTTATATAGTTTTTTATAATACTGCACATTTTTAACGTCATTTTTCATTGGATAATCGGACGTTTATATAGTTTTATATATACGGCTGCTGTCGAGTCATGAAAAAATCTTACTTTTTTCTCTAAAAATAATGCTTGCTGTATTATAAATTCGTTATAAAGATGGTTGACATGTTATATGACCGTATATAAATGGCTATTTGCAATATAACCCTCGTCTTACGGCTCGGGTTATTTTTACAATAAGCCGTTTATATAGAGCCATATAATCTGTCAAAGATCTTTACATCCAATAATATACATGGCTGCTTTTAATTTACCAAGAAATCTCTTTTTCTAAAAGAAAGGAAGTTTGCTGTGTTATAAATTTGTTATAAAGATTCCTGACAGGTTATATGGCCGTCTATAAATGGTTGTTTGTGATAAATAACCTTCAGCTAACAGGGTCATATAACCTGTCAAAAAGTCTTTATAATAATATAAACAATTATATGCAATATAACCCTCACATTACAGCTTGGGTTATATTATGCAAACAACCATTTATATAGGGCCATTTAACCAGTCTTAAATCTTTATAACTAATAGTATAAATGGACAGTTCTAAATTCAAAGTAGTTGACAAGTTAATTGCATAAATTTAGCATGGTTAGGGTAATTATCATTGATTGCTCAATGATGTGTTACATAATGCATTGTTGTTGTTTGTTGTTTTTTTTGCAGAAAAAACATTAATGCCTATTTATAGCTATTTAATTTCAGCATTTCTTCAAGCAGAACCACATTGGGCAGCTAAAATAATGTTTTATTTAAAAAAGTGCTGATTATTTCAACTGTTTTATATATAATTTTTTTTTTTTTATTTTTTTTTTAGTGCAACCAAAACCCCACATACATCGTAAGATTTCAGCACACTTTAATCTTGTACCATTATATAATTGTAATTCTACAGTCTAATAATTATGCCAGTGTAAAATAATTTTATGAATTTTTGAGATTATATTAAAATTTAAGTTGATCTTTGATCTGTTTTTTAATAAAGAAGTCATAGAAGCCCTATTCTACTGGTACACAATCGGCTCTGGCCATGGTGCATTGTCACCAGGTTCTCTGTTCTGTAGACTGCTTAATTTTTGCACTTTACTTTAATAATGCTTTTTGCACTTTACCTTAAAAATGATTTTTGCACTTTACATTAATAATGGACTATATAATGGACTGTTCCAAGGTCATGAAACAAAGAAATCAGGGCTAGTCCATTTTACAAATTCAGCTGAATAGTAGTTATTTGTTAATAACTTTATGCTTGAGCCTTTGCCACCAGTATAGAACCAGGCCAGCCAGTACATCCATAATGTGTGTGCGTCCGTAGCCAAGTGGTTAAACCTGTGACTTGCCCCTCACTGTTGTTTGTTCCTACAGGGACTTTGAATTCTTTCATGTGAGGAAGTTGTCCAGCTAGCTTACTGAATGACGGTGGTTCTACTCAGGTGCCTGTTTGGCCTGAAATAATGCATGGAAGGGCCTAGAACCTAGAAAATTACCATTAGATCTATATTGTGTGGATGCAACATAAAACCCTACCAAGAAGGAAACAAAAAATGAAGAAAAAAAACATCCATGCAGTCTGACCCAGCTGTGTAAAATCTTGATAGCTAAATTCTTCTATTAGGATATTAAAACTCCTTGGACTGTTCCAAATTTTGATAAAAAGTTGGGCAAGTCCATTTCACAAATTCTGCTGGGTAAAGGTTAAAATTATTTAAAGTTATTTTGTGCTGGCATAATATAATAAATGTTAATTTAACAACAGCTTAAAATTGTAACTATGAAACAGTATTATCATGTATATATAATGATAGGTGGTCACTTTTTGCTTTGTATGAAAATCTTAAATTGAATGTGATAATTTAAGAAAAATAATAGCAAAAATCAAGCAAAATTTAGACATTTGACCTTGAAGGACAGAAACCTTAAATTCGAAATTGAAATATCAAGATACCTTCAAGTTAACAAACATATTTAGATATTTAGATACATTTATGATGAAATCTCATCCAATAAGGGGTTTTGTGGGGGGGGAGTATTTTTTGTATTTTTTGTTTGTTTGTATTTCATGTTGAAAGCACACTTGAGTGAAAGTATGATTTAGTCTAGATAATAAAAAGTAAAAAGCTTGAAAAAGCTTGCTTGGAAATGCCTTATACTTTGCTTTAATTACTTAAAGATTAAATTCAATAATTTGAGGTACATTAATGGAAAGATCAATTGAAAAAGAAATGTACATAGTGTTATTCTTTGCTTAACCTTTAACCTGCTGGAGCCTTTCCTATCTGTATAGAGCTTTAGGTCAGCCACAGTGCATCCTTGCAGTCTAACCAGGCTCTATACATATAAGAGCCGCGTCACGACAAAACCAACATAGTGCATTTGCGACCAGCATGGATCCAGACCAGCCTGCGCATCCGCGCAGTCTGATCAGGATCAATGCTGTTTGCTATCAGTTTTTCTACTTGTAATAGGGTTTGTAAGCGAACAGCATGGATCCTGATCAGACTGCGCAGAGACGCAGGCTGGTCTGGATCCATGCTGGTCGCAAAAGCATTACGTCGGTTTTGTCATGATGCGGCTCATTTAAAGTGTTGTTTGACTATCAAACTTGGAATTTTCATCTAGATATCCCCAACATTGATAATGGGAAAGTCCAAAAATAAAAGCTAGACAAGACCATTTTAGCAGATTAAGGGTTCATATTAAGTGATACATGATTTATGGTTACTAATGCTTTGATATAATCATTTGGCCCATGAGTTGTTTCCCTTGTCAAAATTGGGAATATATCAAGATATTTTATTTGCAAATTTAAGCTTAATCGCTTTACTAGTTTTATTTAACACATAAAAATATATATTTTAGATAATACAGCTGATGCTTTATTAAAAATAGTTTTAAATTAGTAAAAAAAAGACAAAAGCTATTCAAATTGTAATTTGATCCTGTTTTTTTTAATGGTACATGTAAGCAAACAAAAGTTGTTTAATAAGATTTGCAAATTTTAATTTTTATTCACAATGAAATATTTTTAAAGATTAAATGATAATTTAAAACTGATTTGATCTGGTTATTTCACCCAATTAAAATGTATAGTTATATTGCTACATATAATCTTTGTGTCTTGCAGTTTAAATACATTTTGTAAGCCATAATTTTTTTTTTTATAAATGTTTGACATATGATTAAGAATTCATTGAAAAGATGTAGAGTCAATTTCTTCTTACTTCTGTAATTTGAATTCTACCTTGGACTTTTTTGAACCATAAAAAGCTGATATCAAGCTTGCTTATGGAATTTTTAATAGTTTAACTAAGAGGTTAATTTTGTTGTTTAACTTGAGTACCCCAGGTTAATTTTGTTGTTTAACTAATGAGTACCCCTGGTTAATTTTGTTGTTTAACTAATGAGTACCCCAGGTTAATTTTGTTGTTTAACTTGAGTACCCCTGGTTAATTTTGTTGTTTAACTTGAGTACCCCAGGTTAATTTTGTTGTTTAACTAATGAGTACCCCAGGTTAATTTTGTTGTTTAACTTGAGTAGTCCCCAGGTTAATTTCGTTGTTTAACTTGAGTACCCCTGGTTAATTTTGTTGTTTAACTAATGAGTACCCCTGGTTAAATTTGTTGTTTAACTTGGGTACCCCTGGTTAATTTTGTTGTTTAACTTGGGTACCCCTGGTTAATTTTGTTGTTTAACTTGGGTACCCCTGGTTAATTTCGTTGTTTAACTTGAGTACCCCTGGTTAATTTTGTTGTTTAACTAATGAGTACCCTGGTTAAATTTGTTGTTTAACTTGAGTACCCCAGGTTAATTTTGTTGTTTAACTAATGAGTACCCCAGGTTAATTTTGTTGTTTAACTAATGAGTACCCCTGGTTAATTTTGTTGTTTAACTTTAGTACCCCAGGTTAATTTTGTTGTTTAACTAATGAGCACCCCTGGTTAATTTTGTTGTTTAACTTGGGTACCCCTGGTTAATCATGTGCCTGAATGAATGTAGATATTTAAAGTGCACTTCTTAGTATAATGTGACTGATAATTTGACGACCTTAACACTGTCAGTGTGCAGACATGAGAAAACAACATCATGTTTTTTTTACAATACATTTTTTCCTTTGAATTTATGTTGTTAATATTTCTGTTTTTACATTACATTGTCTTCTTTGAATTATTACTTGTTATTTTTGTTATTATTTTAGAAATTCTTAATTGTATAGTTTGTCCTATTTAAAAAAAAACATTTTTCAGTATTAATTCTATAAAATATCATTTTGACCCGTGTGACTGATGCTTTTTCTTCGGAAAATCCTAGAAATTATAATATTATATACATGTTAATAGACCTAACATCTAATTGTTGATTCCTACAGATGCTCAAGGGAATGCCACATTGGTGTATGCCCAGCTACAGATTGTTGAAGACTGCTTCACAGACTTTTGTGCCTGTTGCCCATGCTTTCCGAAAGATTCTGAGAACCCGGACAATATTGTACTGTCAAAGATGGGTGAGTAAAAAAGGATTGTTGTATAACAGTCTGTCCACTTTAATTTGCAAAGATGTCTGACTACAATTTCAGGGGTCATGAGTTTGACTCTACACTAGTCCAACTCATTTTGATAACAAGTCTTCAAAATGACTATTTAAAACCAAGATCGTGTTGAATGGTGCTAGAGACCTTGTAAATTAAAGAACAGTGCTGTTTCTCCTAGAATGAACTAGTTTTTATATCCTATACACTAGACATGAAAAAGTAAAAAAAGGTACAGTCTACTGCAGTTTAAATAAATGTGCACTGTATATCATACATTTTTGCATTAGTGAATATATGCTGACTCGCATCACACAAGACAAAAACCAGAAATGTGGCAGTAATCTGGCTATTGAAAATCAAAGAGTCAGATATCACAGCATAGATGAAAAAAACAAAACAAATACAACAAAAGATTAAATCTTTGACATGTACATCAACAACGAGGATGACTAAAAGAAAAGGAAAGATTGACCTTAAAAAAGACTTCAAAAATATGTAACTATATTCTTTTGTTGCAGGTTTACCATATATGTTAATGAAAGAAGTGTATGTTGATGCCTTTATACTACATGAAGATTCTGAACTTAGTAAAGTGATGGAAATGCAAACAGAGGATGAGAGAAAAAAGAAATCTAAAGGAGAGAAAGAAGAGGAGCATACTATTAAAGTTGATCCAAGGAAAGATCTTGACCGTCCTTGGACCACATTTTGGAAATTTCAACCAGTCTGGAAAATTCGGAACTACTTTGGAGAGAAAATTGCTCTGTATTTCGCGTGGGCTGGTCTGTTGATAACAAGTTTATGGATTCCAACAATCTTTGGACTGGCCTGCTTTTCTTATGGCCTTACTGTCAGGTATTTGATCCAGATATTTATTTTTTATTTGAATTGTTTATATAAGTAGGATATTCAAGTTTTTTGCTATAAATACAGCCTTTCGTTTCATCGAGTGGTATGAAAATTAATATTTCATAAGTAGCGGTAGCCACAAGTGAAATATGATAATTTTCATACCACAATTTTCAGTTTATTATATACGTTTTTTCTTCTTTTTGACAATACATTTTATGTGTATTGGCTGAATTAAGAAGAAAATAGTCTGGTAAACATCAGTGAAAATAAGGAAAATATGTTTCACTGCAGTGGAAAATAATTTTTTACAGTTAAAATACGGAAATTGAAAATATTCATTTTATTTCATCAGTATTTCTATAAGTATATAATAAATAGAAATAGGGATAAAATGTTACCCCTGAGTCTGCTGGCAGTGACTGAAGCAACCCATGCCACCAGTGCAGGCCAGCATTGGCTGGCACATCCATGCCCTTTGATCATGGTGTTCATTGTTCACTATACAGTCAATACTTATTTTGAAATTTTCCTTAAAAATTTATGAAAGGTTACATACAGACTAAAAAAATGTACAAGTCCTTTTAAGATTTTTAGCATGGTATTGGGCTTTGAAAAATGAATTTTTTAATTTTTGTTACCTTAGACCTTAGTGTAGTATATTTTGTAATTGCATTAACTTAAATTAACACTGACTCTGCAAGATTATTAATTAATTAATTAACTTTTCTTGCTTTGAATTTGGAATTTTTCATTGTTTTTCATTCAGTAAGGCTTCCTTCATCTCCTTATTATGGAATCATTAAATTCATACACATTTACATAATTTTTAACATTGCTTTTATGAAAATTATACTTCTTATTAGATTTTGTTTATATTATGCATTTTTAATGAATAAATATTACAATATTCTACCGTTGTATCGCAGTTTTGAAAGGTCAGCACAAAATGTTGAGATGCCAAAGAATCTGACAGCCCAGGAAGAGTATGTATACTTATTAATTATTTACTTTCAACCTTTATTCATAAGAGTTATTATACCCCCAAAAACGAAGTTTGGGGGGGTTTATAGGAGTCACCCTGTGGTCGGTCGGTCGGTCGGGCGGTCGGTCGGTCGGTCGGTCCAGACGTCCGTTGCATTTTCCTTGTCCGGAGCATAACTTGAAAACTAATGGTTGGAATTCAATATAACTACATACAATAGTCAAGCACATTGAGAGGAAGTGCAGTGCACAAGAATCATAACTCTATCTTGACTAATTACAGAGTTATTGCCCTTTGTTACTTTTCCTTGTCCGGGGCATAACTTGAAAACTACTGGTTGGAATTCAAAACAACTTCATACAATTGTCAAACACAATAAGGGGAAGTGCAGTGCACAAGAACCATAACTCTGTCTAAAGTAATTACAGAGTTATTGCCCTTTGTTGCTTTTCAATTGCTTATTTTTTTGACTGTTGCATTTTCCTTGTCCGGAGCATAACTTGAAAACAAATGGTTGGAATTCAATATAACTACATACAATGGTCAAGCACATTGAGAGGAAGTGCAGTGCGTAAGAAACATAACTCTATCTTGACTAATTACAGAGTTATTGCCCTTTGTTACTTTTCCTTGTCCGTGGCATAACTTGAAAACTACTGCTTGGAATTCAAAACAACTTCATACAATTGTCAAACACAATAAGGGAAAGTACAGGGCACAAGAACCATAACTCTATCTAAAGTAATTACAGAGTTATTGCCCTTTGTTGCTTTTCAAATGCCTTCTTTTTTTTGTCCGAAGCATAACTTGAAGACTAATGGTTGGAATTCAATATAACTACATACAATGGTTAAGCACATTGAGAGAAAGTGCAGTGCATAAGAACCATAACTCTATCTAAAGTAATTACAGAGTTATTGCCCTTTATTACTTTTCCATTGCTTTCTTTTGTCCGGACCATAACTTGAAGACAAATTGTTGGAATTCATTATAACTTCATACAATGGTCCAGCATATTGAGAGGAAGTGCAGTGCACAAGAACCATAACTCCATTTTGACTTATTACAGAGTTACTGCCCTTTGTTTCTTTTCCTTGTCCAGAGCATGACTTTAAAACTACTGGTTGGAATTCAAAACAACTTCATACAATGGTCAAGCACAATAAGGGGAAGTGCAGTGCACAAGAACCATAACTCCATCTTGACTAAGTACAGAGTTATTGCCCTTTGTTACTTTTCCTTTGCTTTCTTTTGTCTGGACCATAACTTGAAGACTTATTGTTGGATTTCATTATAACTTCATACAATGGTCAAGCACATTGAGAGGAAGTGCAGTGCATAAGAACCATAACTCCATCTTGACTAATTACAGAGTTACTGCCCTTTGTTACTTTTCCTTGTCCAAAGCATGACTTGAAAACTACTGGTTGGAATTCAAAACAACTTCATACAATGGTCAAGCACAATAAGGGGAAGTGCAGTGCACAAGAACCATAACTCCATCTTGACTAGTTATAGAGTTATTGCCCTTTGTTACTTTTCCTTGTCCAGAGCATAATTTGAAAACTATTGTTTGGAATTCAGTACAACTTCATACAGTTGTCAAGGACATTCAAAGGAAGTGCAGTGCACAAGAGCCATAAATCCATTTTGACAAAATACAGAGTTACTGCCCTTTGATACTTTTCCTTGTCCGGAGCATAACTTAAAACGTTACAGGTTGGAATTCAAAACAACTTCATACAATGGTCAAGCACAATAAGAGGAAGTGCAGTGCACAAGAACTATGACTCTATCTTAAGTATTTATAGAGTTATTGCCCTTTGTTCTTTTTCTTTGTCTTTCTGGACTTATTACAGAGTAATTCAATTAAACTTCATCAATGGCCAACCACATTGAAAGGAAATGCAACATACATGAACCACAATTATCTTTAATTGCCCACAACCATAACTCTATGTTTCAATTCTTTTACAAGGTATTCTGTTACTAGTAACATCCTCATTTCCGAAGCAGACTTGTGGGGGTATTAATCACATTTAGTGATAGTTCTAGTTAATGATTAAAACAATAGCACACATGATTTGTATAATGGAAATGTGCTTTGATTACAGAACTGGCAATTTTCATTTTAAAACATTTCAGTATCAAAAAGCTGCAAGTTTATTGCATTACAGCTTTAGATGATGCCCACAGTATACTAAGTTCATAGTCATCTAGTCCTTTTGTACTTGCTTTGTGGGTCAAACTATCAGAGGTGATGGATTTTGTAGTTTACCTTTGGGATCAGGGGCTGTAAGCTACTTTGAGTTCACAAGACCACAGTTCACAGCTCAGTATCTCTTTATTGGGAATGCTGTCAAGCAGTTTACTAGTATCAGTGACTGCACTTTTGCAAGGAACTGATACTACTTCTGTCTATGCCTTAGCAGAGGTCAAGTGTGATTGGCTGTAGAAAGAATTGATCAGTCAGAACAGAAATGTCCTGCACCATCTGGGAATCAAACCCAGGTTGCTTGATTTGTAGTTCAATGTTCTAGCAATTGGTTCAGATTATCAGACGCATTCCCAGTGCCTTATCTTTCCCAATTTCTAATTTGAAGTGCAAATTCACACACACAAAAATTACCTGTTACTTACTGTTACCTATCTTGTGAAGATAAAATTTCTTAAATTTGACAGAAAAAAAATATTGGGTGTGTAAGCCTGTTTTGTCCCCATTATAAGTTTATTAGGTTAGGTAATTAATATTTATGTGAAGGAAGCATTCAGATTATTTGAACCTGTGTCTAGTCAGCTTTCTGGATGTAACCAGTACTGTGTCATATGCAGAAATATGACGATGACCCGAATGGGGCTCATTACGATTCCTGAATTAGTGGCTGACTATTTAACCATTAGGCCACTGCTTCTCTTTGTAAGGCAGGCTAATTTAAGATAAATCTTAACAGTTTGACATGTCTTTACTATTTAGAATTTTTTTTTATTTATCTGTTTATTATGTGCTGAATATAGTTTCAGATACTGTTTCTAAATTAGGGAAAAAAGAAAAATATGTTGTTGGTTTAGTTTTGTTTGTTTGTCTACAGGTTAAAGTGGCAGTTGGGAGAATTGTATAATACTGTTAGTGGGTCATTTGACAATGATGTTACGCCTTATTTTGCAATGGTCATTTGTTTATGGGGTAAGTTTTTTTTTAATTCCAAGGTAGCGCTGTTGTTGCAAAAATGCAATGGTCAATAAAACACCATTATCATAATTTAGATGGTAAGTGATCATGCCAGAAACATGTTTGTCTTTTTAAGGCATTTTTAGCTCGACTTTTCTATGAAAAGGGGAGCTATCCTACTCGCCCCGGCGTCGGCGTCGGCGTCACACCTTGGTTAAGTTTTTCGTACCACCCCACTTTATTTCAGAAGTATTACAAGTATGGCTTTGAAACTTACCATACTTGTTCACCATCATAACCTCCATCTACAGACAAGAGTACATAACTCTGTCAAGGTTTTTGACAGAAATTATGGCCCTTTTTTGACTTAGAAAGTGTATTGAGCTTGGTTAAGTTTTTTGTACCACCTCACTTTATTTCAAAACCATTGGAGGTATTGCTTTGAAACTGACCATACTTGTTTACCATCACGACCTTCATCAACAGACAAGAGGACATAACTCTGTCAAGGTTTTTGACAGAATTATGCCCCTTTTTGACTTAGAAAATACATTGAATATGGGTAAAATCCACTTATTGCCTTAACCCTTTGAGATATTGCTTTGAAACTTTTAATGCTATTTCACATCATTACCCCCATCTGTACGCAAGAGAAGGTAACTCTGTCAAGGATTTTGTTTTAAAAATTAAGGCCTTTTATCGACTTAGAATCTTGGTTAAGTTTTTAGTACCAGTCCACTTTTTGACTGAACTGTTTGAGATATTAATTTGAAAGTTGGAATACTTGTTTACAATCATGATTCCCAAACATGTCCAGGAGAAGGTAATTCTGTCAAAGATTTTATTTGAATTATGGCCCTTAACTGTCAATGTTTTGTATTATAGGCAAGCACTAAAAAACTTAAAAAATCTAAAAAAATTCATTCCTATCCACTTGTTCACTTTACCATAAATTATGTCATATAAACATTGCTGTAATATTCAAGGGTATCAAACAACTAGTTCACTTTAAAAATACAGAGATTCTTGTATTGCCTTTTACTGCAAAAACTTTTTTTATTGGCAAGCAATAAAAAAGTCGAGCGCGCTGTCTTACGGACAGCTCTTGTTCTATATATTTTTGATGCCAAAACATTGTATATATATATATATTTGATGGCACTATATACATTTTTTGATTTGATAAAATATTGCTAAATGTTATTGTAAAAAGGGTTATGATATTATTGTTTGATGCAAAAAGCCTACTAATATATACAAGACTGTATGTCAATAGCTATATTTTGATGCCAAAGGGCAAATGCTTAATGTTCAATAATCAAATTGCAATAAAACAAAAGACTATAATGTTGAATTCCGAATAATGAAAGCAATTTTGTGAGACAGCATTTATAAATAACTTATTGGTTTTGAATAGCTTTTGTGGACTTGAATAAAAGATTGATTATAATTATCTATATACATGTAAATTATTACAATTGACTTAACATAATATGCAAGCTAAACATATGCTGTACTCACTAGCTCCTTATTCTTTAGAATTTGTACAACAATAATTAATTTTTGGGATATTAGGATGAAAATTTTGAAGTTGTTGAATATAACCTTCTGAAATTTGTGTAACTATTGGCTAGCTTTTTGCACAAGATCATCCTTATTCTGGCTATAAATCTCCCATATTTACCCTCAGCAACCTATATAACAAATAATGTACATAATGTTCATGTACAGCTAGGACAGGCCTAACAGGTAAGGTATTCAGGATCTTTACAGGTTGCAGGGCTGTTAACTAGTGGTTTCACAAACAAAATGATCGACGTGACTTATTTTCTTATCAATTTCTGGTATGTTGAACATGTACAAAGTATATATATGTCATTATTATTTTATGTTGTGTTTGCAGGTACAATATTTCTGGAGTTGTGGAAGCGGTATAATGCCAGGCTGTCATATGAATGGGATGTGGACCAGTTTGAACAGAATGAACCGGACAGACCAGAATTCTTTGGAACCAAATTAAAAAAGGTATTTATTACACAGAAATCAACAAAAATAAATTATTCATGACAGAATTATAAACTTCACACATCTTTTTTCCCCTTAAGTTGGGTTTTATGTCACACAAACACAGATGTGGTCATATGGCTTTACTGGTTGAGGAAGATGGTGCCCCTCTGTGCATTATTTCAGGCTCATAAAAAAAACCCGACTTAGTAGACGTATCTATGTCCTTAAGATAGCTGGATTGCTTTTGAAATAATTCATTCCCTGGCAGGTTTTGAACCCACAGCAGTGAGGGACAATTGGCTTGATGTCAACATTCTTAACCACTTAGCCTTGGATGTCCTACATGACATTAATGTCATTATTTTGTCACTGACCAAGACCCACAACTCTTACATTGACTTTTACTTCTGTGAACTTAATGTACTCAAGCATATTGTTACAATTTTTTGTTTTACTATTTCAGGATCCTGTCACACAGCAGCATGACTGGTTTTATTCTTGGAAAAGACAAATGCTCAAATTTTGTATCTCAGCTTCAGCATTAATTTTCATGGTGAGTCAGACTGTGTCAGTTCTACATTGAAAAACCATAGAATATCTTTGGTGATCAGACTTGAAAATGGTACCAATCAGTTTTGAATTTGTATTCAGAATTATCCAATCAGATGCTTGTCATTTTCAGACTGGTGCTTTTCAATTTTTAATTTTGACAAAGTTTGTTATTTAAAGGGACTCAACTGAGGTCCAAGAACCTAAAAGCATCAAATATGAATTTCTTACATACAGTGTAGATGAACTGTGGCACTAAAATCAGAAGAAGTTGAAATGCACAAGATAATTAAGAAACATAGTCTCCATTTCCATCTTGTCAAAAACCTCAGTGGTGTCCCTTTAATAATTTATATTTACCATATATGGTGATGAAAATAAAATTTTGTTTGGAAATAAAGTCTACATGTAGCTTTTTGTCAGAGTTAGAACTTATGTTTGTATTATTTTTTTTAGATAATTTATTAGATGTGATTATGTCAATTTGAAGTCAATGCTTTAACTTGGACCAAATCTTTTGTAGGAAAGGTTATTTTCCAGAACAGAAATACATTTTTGTAATTGAATTCTTAGTAAGCTTGTGTATTATATCATTTAGATATTCAGTGTGAATTATTTATCTAGAGTTTGTATATTCCAGATCTGTTTGGTATTCATCAGTGTGGCGGCGGTAGTGGTATATCGGGTGATCGTGAGCGTGGATTATTGTACGAATATAAGTACAGTAAGCTGTCTTCTCCTGACAAATATACTCTCAGCTTTACTCAATGCATTATCTATACTGCTTCTTGGAAAGGTAAGTTCAAATGATTTTAATCCTTAAAGGCACATTATGCCTCAGAAATAAATAATTTTTTACTTCTTTAGAATGGGCAAACATGAATTTTATAATATCTAAATAATGGATTAAGAGAAATCTTAAATGCTTGATACCTGACAATTAGCAAAAGATGTGAAATGATTTGTAATAAAAGTAGTATTTTGACTTCCATACAAAATACCATTTTACTAATACTGTACTTATTACCAAAAAGTTACAGATAGAAAAGATGGTTCAAGTAATAGGCTAATGAGTAACTTTCTGGATATTATTTTCAAAAAAAAAGTACACAAAAATTAAAAGGTTTTTAGAAATAAAAATAAAAGCATTTCTCTGACATAATGGCACTTTATAGTGTATAAAGCTATATCATATGAAATATTTATATAAAATTAATATACAGTAAAATTATGTTCTTTGTTTGATTCTCAAAAAAAAAATAGATAGATCTACACAGAATCTATTATTATTGTTATTTGACAAACATAAATCTTGTATGTAAACAGAATAAAATGTTCCGGAACAAAGGATTTAAAACAATCAAAATAATTTGGATGCATGCTTCATTTGCTTTTAAAGTAATATACTGGCATATTTCTGCCATTATAGGTATTTTGTAAGCATTCTTTTACAGCCAGTTAGCCTCGGATCTCAGGTTCAAAGGTTGAGGTTACTGCCATAGTTGTTGATGGTTATCTTGTATCCATGCTTGACAGTTTTTAACTCATTAGAATTTTTAGAATGCATGTTGTACCAGTTAACATGTTAAAATGCGCCGCTGATTCCTGTTTATCTTCTTTAGATTTACGACTGGGTGGCATTAAAACTGACAGAGTGGGGTAGGTGTTATTAGAATAATTTATTTGTGTCAATATTGTACACATTTGTTTTTGCTGCATAATTCACATAATATTACTAAAATATGTAGATTTACTTGCTCTCCGTAGAAAATTTAAGAAATCTGATTTGAAAACCTTTGAGCAATTAAAACAAAAAATACAGACATTGTTTTGTTGAGTGTGTCCATGACAGCTCAAAGATTGCTTGCAAAATATACAAATTTATGTGGTGTGGATATTTTAATCATAAATACTGTTGTTGACTTTCTTTATGTATGAGTAAATATATAATGTAATGATCAGGAAACTCTCTGGCTGCTTTGTATAATTGGGAGAGCATTGAATCAGTGATCCAGGGATCACTGGTTCAATCCTCTGACTAGGCTCTAGTCTAACAGTCTTCTGTCTCACACCACTGATTTAGAAATCATTTGAGCCGTGTCATGACAAAACCAACATAATGGGTTTGCGACCAGCATGGATCCAGACCAGCCTGTTCGCTAACAAACCCTATTACAAGTAGAGAAACTGATAGCGAACAGCATGGATCCTGATCAGACTGTGCGGATGCCCAGGCTGGTCTTGATCCATGCTGGTCACAAACCCATTATGTTAGTTTTGTCGTGACGTGGCTCATTTGGGTTTAGTAGTCAATCATTTATGGAGAAATTGGTGATTACTAGTCAGTAATTCAGGAAAAACGGTTAGGTGGATCAACTGCTGAGATATGATCAGAAATGTTTCAGATTTTGGCAGAAAAAAAATAAGCCTGTACCTTGCTAAATGTATGAAACAAATTGACAGTTCATATGTCATTTGATCTAGAGCTATCCATTGTTAAATTGAAAGAAATTCCATGTCAGAATACAAGAAATCAGCTGCCAACAGTATATAGCTTTGATGGGAACACATCTAGTTTGGCACCCCAGAATATATACAATATTTGCATGCTCGTTTAATGGGGGCTATTGCCAAAGCCCACACCCCTCCTTTTTTATGGATTCATTCCCTTTAACTAACCCAAAACAGAATAACACATTGTAAAATGATAACGGCATAATTACACTTGATTATTAATACAGACGGCTGCTAAACAAGATTCTATTCCTTTGATGTGTCTGTACTTTGTGATATTAACTGCTATATTGCAGTTGATTCTTAGACTATATATATAATAGCTTTTATATTAATTCTTTCAGAAAATCATCGTACACAGACCCAGTATAATGATGCTCTCATTATAAAACTTTTCGCCTTCTCATTCGCCAACACATATGCCTCATGTTTCTACATAGCCTTCTTTAGAGGGGTGAGTAGCTTTTTGAAGACATACCTCTCATGCTGTCTATTTAATTAGTGTTTTCTTAAGTTATTAAACATTATGAAAATTACATAGAGGTAAACTTTTACTCCTTTTGTTTTCTAACTATCTCTTTGAGATCATCGGTTTCAAGCTTTAGGGATGAAGATATTCTAGCACATGTCAACTTAGCTTGTATGTAAGTTTACCACATGAACAAATCTGTGGTTGTATGTTGTTTATGTGATGGGATATCAAATTGAGCTGAGCACTACATAATTTAGAAACATCTGTCCTACTATTAGATGATTTGACAAGTGTGTCTAGTATGGCCTTGCCCATCTTTAACCTGGACAAAAACCATTCATTACTTTCAGGGACAATTTTAAAGATAAATACTGACTTAGAAGCGATTTAAGTGCGAACAATGATCAGACAATCTGTCTAATCTTAATTATTCATTACTGGTTATGTTGGTAAAACCTGTTTCCAGCAGCAGGCTAAAGGTTAATACTTCTAAAGCTCTTTTTTTTTCTTTTTCTTTTTTGGAAATAGTGCTAATTTAAGGGTTTCCAGGTTATGGGTCTTTTATAGCAATTTTAACGTCTTTCCATGTACATGGTTTGTTATAAGACACTTTTTTCTATGATATTTATATTATAACGGTATATATTTCAGAGATTTGGAGGTATATTTGGACTACCTGATGAATACAATGACAAGTGTGAAGGGGACAGTTGTATGTCACAGCTCTCATTTCAAGTTTGTATCCTCATGCTGGCAAAACCATTACCAAAGTTCTTGAAAGATATTGTATTACCGTAAGTCTATTTTATTACTGTAAGTCTATTTTATTACCGTAAGTCTATCAAATTACCATAAGTCTGTTTTATTACTGTAAGTCTTTTATATTACAATAAGTCTATTATATTACCGTAAGTTTATTATATTACCATAAGTCTAGTTATGGTGATTTTAATGTTTAATCTCACTTAGGATATGTTGCCTGCTTTTAAAATTTGTCTTTTGACAGCTTGTTTGTGATTTGCAAGCTTTGTTCCCCTTTCAAAATTCCATTTAGTTTCCACCCATTGTTTTCTTGTTTGGGACACACACATTATTTAGCTTGGGGACCTTACGCCCATTTTCATGGAATGGCACATTGAAGGTTTCATGATAACCACCGTATGAACACATCTGCAGATGTTTGTAAATTCTGCTTATGCCTGTGCTGGGAGGCATGGATGGTATCTTGCACTTTCCAGTACTGTCCATGAACAGGCTCAATCAAACCAAACCTGCAACATTTTCAGTTTTGTCATTTTAGACTTTCTGTAGGGATTCTATTTCTCTCTATTTAACAATAATTTAAGTAATTATGTCTCCCCCACCTCGGGGGGAGACATATTGTTTTTGCCCTGTCCGTCCGTCAGTCCGTCCGTCCGTCCGTCAGTCCGTCCGTCCGTCAGTCCGTCCGTCCATTCTTCGTTTCCGGATGATAACTAGAGTTCCTTTTGACCTACAGCCCTCAAACTTCATAGGATGATTGGTCTTATAGAGCTGATGATCCCTATTGTTTTTGGGGTCAGTAGGTCAAAGGTCAAGGTCACACTGACCGTTGGTCAATTTCTCGTTTCCGGATGATAACTAGAGTTCCTTTAGACCTACAGACCTCAAACTTCATAGGATGATTGGTCTTATTGAGCAGATGATCCCTATTGTTTTTGGGGTCAGTAGTTCAAAGGTCAAGGTCACAGTGACCATTGGTCAATTTCTCGTTTCCGGATGATAACTAGAGTTCCTTTTGACCTACAGCCTCAAACTTCATTGGATGATTGGTCTTATTGAGCAGATGATCCCTATTGTTTTTGGGGTCAGTAGTTCAAAGGTCAAGGTCACAGTGACCGTTGGTCAATTTCTCGTTTCCGGATGATAACTAGAGTTCCTTTTGACCTACAGCCCTCAAACTTCATTGGATGATTGGTCTTATAGAGCAGATGATCCCTATTGTTTTTGGGGTCAGTAGGTCAAAGGTCAAGGTCACAGTGACCGTTGGTCAATTTCTCATTTCCGGATGATAACTAGAGTTCCTTTTGACCTACAACCCTCAAACTTCATAGGATGATTGGTCTTATTAATCAAATGATCCCTATTGTTTTAATGGTCAGTAGGTCAAAGGTCAAGGTCACAGTGACCGTTGGTTAATTTCTCCTTTCCGGATGATAACTAGAGTTCCTTTAGACCTACAACCCTCAAACTTCATAGGATGATTGGTCTTATTGAGCAGATGATCCCTCTTGTTTATGGGGTCAGTAGGTCAAAGGTTAAGGTCACAGTGACCATTGGTCATTTTCTCATTTCCGGATGATAACTAGAGTTCTTATCAGTGAGGACATTTAACTATTATTGATATATCAGTGATATATCAGTTGTCTGGTTTTATATACTCTGTTCTTTTTTGATCTTTCCACCCTTATGCGGTCATTTCTTCCCCGCTGCGCGTTCAATGCTACATGGTCACAGCAAGGTGTGTAAATCATGATTTGACATACATTGAAATTTGAGTTGTCTTTCAATAGTGTAAAAAATCTGACAATATGAACGTTTGTTTCAAGTATCATCAAAATCCTTCAAAGGGTTGAAGAGTTATGGAGCAGACACAATTTCCTTTAATTTCGTTTGTGAAACTATATATGATATGACATTCAAGTGTCAAGTAGACCTTGACCTTGGAACCAGCCATACGAAACATGTACTCTACACGTTCTCTGGATGTGGTGAATTTTTGTTTCAAGTATCTACCAGAGAGGCTTCATTGTGAAAACGAGTGGAGTCATCCCAACACACTACAGTTATCATGATTTTACATACATTGTAATTTGAGTTGTCTTTCAATAGTGTAAAAAAATCTGACAATATGAACGTTTGTTTCAAGTATCATCAAAATCCTTTAAAGGTTTGAAGAATTATGGAGCAGACACAATTTCATTTAATTTCATTTGTGAAACTATATATGATATGACCATCAAGTGCAATTTCGTTTGACGCCCGCCTGCCATACGCTGATTGAATAACCAGGATTTTCAAAATTGAATACCTGGTTAAAAACAAACAGTTTAGGAAGCATCTTCTCATACAACCTTAACAATAGAAACCATCCATAGACAGCCTTCATTGAAGTGACTACCGGGTATTTACATTATCTTATCTCCATTTCCATTCCTGTTTCCATTCAGTTATTCTCAGCAGTGGGGGAGACATGCGCTTTTTTACAAAAGCATCCTCTAGTTTTCAATAGTGCTCCACAGTGCATAGTGTGCTCAGTTCTAATACCAATAGCTAATATTGTTCTGATTCACTAAACAATTTTGCAGATTAAGCTAAAAATAGAGATTATCAATACATGGCATCAGGCAGATTTTGATGAAATGCAACATTGGCTTTCAATGATGTAAACATTTTTTTCTTCCTGTTTTCTGAAATGAGTTATCTGGAGGATGTTCATTTAATTGTTTAGCTGGGTTTAAGTATAACATGTTAAGATCATTAATTTTTCCAAGTGGAAGAAGACCCCTATGTAATTTTTTGTGTATCATTTGTATTTTTAGCTCACCTGAGCATGCTCAGGGTGAGCTTTTAGGATCGATGATTGTCCGTCGTCCGTTCACATTTAGTTGTTAACACTCTAGCGGTCGCATTTTTGCCTCAATCATCATCAAACTTAGTCAGGATGCTTATCTAGTTGATAGCTGGGATGAGTTCGAACATGGGTCATCTCGGATGAGAAACTAGGTCACAAGAGCGAAAAATAGAAAAACCTTGTTCACACTCTAGAGGTCACATTTTTGCCTCAATCATCATCAAACTTGGTCAGGATGTTTGTCTAGGTGATAGCTCTGATGAGTTCGAACATGGGTCATCTCGGATGAAAAAGTAGGTCACCGGAGCTAAAAATAGAAAAACCTTGTTAACACTCTAGCGGTCACATTTTTGCATCAATCATCATCAAACTTGGTCAAGATGCTTGTCTAGGTGATAGCTCGGATGAGTTCGAACATGGTTCATCTCGGATGAAAAAATAGGTCACCGGAGCTAAAAATAGAAAAACCTTGTTAACACTCTAGCGGTCACATTTTTGCATCAATCATCATCAAACTTGGTCAGGATGCTTATCTAGTTGATAGCTCGGATGAGTTCGAACATGGGTCATCTCGGATGAAAAAGTAGGTCACCGGAGCTAAAAATACAAAAACCTTGTTAACATTCTAGCGGTCACATTTTTTGCATCAATCATCATCAAACTTGGTCAAGATGCTTGTCTAGGTGATAGCTCGGATGAGTTTGAACATGGGTCATCTCGGATGAAAAACTAGGTCACCAGAGCTAAAAATAGAAAAACCATGTTAACACTCTAGAGGTCACAATTTTGCCTCAATTATCATCAAACTTGGTCAGGATGTTTGTCTAGGTGATAGCTCGGATGAGTTTGAACATGGGTCATCTCGGATGAAAAAGTAGGTCACCGGAGCTAAAAATAGAAAAACCTTGTTAACACTCTAGCGGTCACATTTTTGCCTCAATCATCATCAAACTTGCTCAAGATGCTTGTCTAGGTGATAGCTGAGATGAGTTCGAACATGGGTCATCTTGGATGAAAAACTAGGTCACAGGAGCTAAAAATAGAAAAACCTTGTTAACACTCTAGTGGTCACAATTTTGACTCAATTGTAATCAAACTTGGTCAGGAAACTTGTCTAGGTCATTGCTGGGAATAAATCGAACATGGGTCATCTCGGATGAAAAACTAGGTCACAGGAGCTAAAAATAGAAAAATCTTGTTAAAACTCTAGTGGCTACTGTTGTGATCCAAATATTCTGTTAATTGGTCTGAAAGTTTGTTTTGATGATTTCTAAGTCAAGATCGAACATGGATCATCTTGGATGAAAAACTAGGTCACACCGCCCAAATATGGAAAAACCTTGTTAACATTCTAGTGGTCACATTTTCGACTCAATTATCATCAAACTTGGTCAGGATGCTTGTCTAGGTAATTGCTTGGATGAGTTCGAAATCACATGTGAAACTAGGTCACCGGAGCTAAAAATAGAAAAATCTTGTTAACACTCTAGTTGCTACTGTTTTGATCCAAGTATCCTGGAAATTGGTCTGAAAATTTGTTTTGATGATTTCTAGGTCAAGTTTGAATATGTGTCACCTGGGTAAAAAACTAGGTCGCACTGCTCAAATATGGATAATCCTTGTTAATACTGTAGTGGTCACATTTTTGACTCGCCTGTCATGAGACTTGGTCAGAATGCTTGTCTAGATAATTGTTTGGATGAGTTTGATAAGTCAGGTGAGCGATCTAGGGCCATCATGGCCCTCTTGTTTGAGGTTCAAATTGGTGCCTAGGTCATGCCATAGACATCATGTTAGCTGGATTAAAAAATTCAAAGGATCTTTTATTCTTATGAAGGGCAAGCAACTCATAATTAGTGACTTTAAAGGGACTCAACTGAGGTTTTTTTATATAACTGGACTGGAAATATATTTTCGGACATTTTTAGTGCATTTAATGTAATTCTATACATAAATTGTGTTCATTTGCTTACACTGCTTTTTCTGGTATAATAATATTTATAAAAATGAAAAGTGTTTCAAATTAAGCTAAGAATTACACTCAATATCAATTGTCAATACAATTCTGAGTGTATTTCTTTTTCATGTATTTCTGTTTTAAGTGCTCAAACTGATTTTTATAAAATATTAAAAATTATGGTTTTAGGCCTCAGCGGAGTTCCTTTAATCATTCAGAAGTGTACATACAAATAATACAGTTCCTGTAATTCTATATCTGACAATACACACTTTATTGTGTTTTAACATCTAGAAACCTTTATTTGATGTTTTGTAGGTTCATAAGAAAGTTATGGCGGACACGTCCCGATTGCTGCAGATGTTGTGATAAAGGTTGTTGTTGTTGCAACAACAAGGTTGAAGACGAGGAAAAGGATTCAGATTTTGTAGACACAGACTCACTAGCGTCAAAAAGGTCGAAGGCATTTTTGAAAAAAGAAAGATACAAACCACCACTGGGAGATTTTACCCTCGGGGAATACACCGAGAAAGTTATTATTTATGGGTTTCTCATGGTAAGTAAAAATAGTTCTTTTTTTCCATAAGAAGGTTTCTTTTAATCAATGGACTTGGCCTGTTTTGAAGCTGTTATGGCCGAGTGTGACATTCAAAGGTTGTTTAACCTCAAAGCTTTGATTTTTAACTCCTGTGCTAGACATGGAGTTATAGTTTTGTTGGGAGTCTATACAGTTCGAGCTTACAGAAAATTTTGTTCTTCAACCAAGCTGTATACATGTGCTTAAAATAATCTACAAAAAGAAACATATAAGGTTCCTGTCCTCAAACTGGTATAATATAATAATGCTAGTTTGATTCCATGTAATTTAAGAAAGGTATCTTAGGTCAGTATTTCTGTACAGTTAATTATTACTACCATTTGTGAAGTTTCAAGCCAATAAGGCTAATGCGGGTGCTTAGAAAGTGCCAGGTTCTCGTTGATGAATCATTAGGTTGTCATACAGTATCCAGGGATGCTCCTTTTTATAACTATCAGATAAGCAATGTAGTCAGCAAAATATATATACAAATATTAACGAATAAAAACTTAAAAATGAATTAAGTTATCAATTTTATATTTTGTAACAGCTTTTTGCGGCATCATTCCCTCTGGCACCATTTATAGCCTTAGTCATATTATTCCTGGATAAACATATAGATGCCAAAAGATTACTGTGGTTAAACAGAAGACCTGTGGCCTTCATTGCTCAAGATTTAGGTAGGTTGATTAAAAGCACTTCTTTCCATGTTTTTTTGGTTGTTTTGCATTGTATTATATTATTTATATTTCTTTTTGATCAAAAATGTTGTAAGTTTTATTTATTAGCAGGTAGCTTAATAGTTAAGGTGCAACATGACATAAAATGAAAGTGTTTAAACATTTTAACTCGGGTCAAGCTAAAAATCATGTGAAACACAAATTCAGTGTCAATTCTGAGTATATTTCTTTATTTTATGTGCTACAATTGATTTTTGTCAACTTTTCAAAATTTGATAATTTTAGATTTTTGGACCTCAGATCATTTAACCATTTAAATGTCTACATACAAAAAATATAGTTTCTGTGATACTTTGTTTGACATTGCACACTTAATTATGTTCGCTCGATCATTAAATTTTTGGTTCAAGCCCTGATGGGGTCAGGACCATGGGTTTCATATGAAACCAGCAATAATTAGTTCCAGGAAGAACACTCAGGAATGGTGTAAATAAGCTCGATACTTTCATTGGAATCAAACTGAAATAATCATTTAATAATATAATTAAACTTATTGGATATATAAAGTATCAGTAAAATGAGGGTACATCTACAGTAGTGACAAGATAATCCTTCAACAGTAACAGTATTGTTATCAAAATATGTAAATAACATTATTTGGTACCATTTTAATGCATTAAATCAATTCACAAAAAATAGCATGAATGCTGCATTAACTGCAGTTTTTATGAAATACTAAGGCAGAACTATATTGATTCAAATTCAGGGAAATCATTTGTGTTTCTTTATTTCTGAAATGTAACTTTTGACATTATTATATTACTGTTTTACTATAAAATATCTGTTACAGGAATGTGGTATGGTATACTGGAGTTTGTCAATCTCATCGGTGTAGTCTCTAATGGCTTCCTTATAGCCTTCACCTCATCCTGGGGTCTTAAATACAGTATACAAACAAGGTTATGGATATGTATTGGGTTTGAGGTAAGATATTTACATATCTGATATAAATCACGCCCCTCAAAGCTTACAAGGATGCTATTGGTCAGATGATTAACCTTTGACACTGATAAATTTGCATAATGGGCTTGTCCTGATCTAATTTTGGAACTGCCTATCTTGTATAAGAATATATCTTTGACTTAAAGTATCAGTTAAAATCTGGCCCCGTGTTCACTAAGAAAAGATCAGGATCAAGTGATCCTGATTTTATTTTCTTTTTTTTTTATGTTACTAAAATTAAACGTGTCTTGCTAGCATTAAATGGTAAATATTCAAACTGTAAACATTTACTGATTTGCAAAGAAACCAAACTATTTTGGGATAAAATTAACAAATAACAAAACAAATACAAAAATATTCGGATCAAAATAAGGATCAGGATCAACTGATCAAATTATTCTAAAATTTCATAAACTTGCTATTGTAAGTCCAGTTTTATCTAATAAATATTAGATATTTTATCTGTGAGGATAAACAATGAAGAATATGAGTTTTTAAAATTGATCCTGATCTTTAAATTTTGTGAACACAGGGCCAGGGACACAGCAGTCATCCAAGACTTAGTAACCTTATCAGGACAGCTCCAAGAAGATTTGAACATTTGATGCATCCCTTTAACATGGGTGAAAATGGCATTGTTCCCATAATTCCAATGTCAACCATCCTCCTGAAGATATTTTGGATTTGGTTGAAGTGATTTAAAATTAGCCATATTACCAAATATGTCAAATTATACGCTAGTTATTATAAATTGTAAAAATTTGTTACTTTTCCAATAGCAAGTGATATTTTTGTGCACAGTCACCTTTATGTATATACTTTATTTTATAAACGTATATCTATATTATATTTTCAGCATATAGTGTTTGCTCTCAAGTTTATACTTGCATACCTAATTCCTGATGTCCCTAAAGATGTTAGATTAGCCATAAGAAGGGTAAGTCTTTTTTACATTATTATAAATTAAATGTATATTTACACTTTTTGTGGGGTCGGGCGTCAGTGGCTGATTGGTTACTGTAGTTGACTTCCAACAATTTGCCCTTAATTGTTGTGGGTTTGAATCAGGACAGGGGCCTGGGATTCTTTCATGTGAGAAAACTATCCAGCTAGCTTTCGGAATGTGGATGGTTCTACTCAGGTGTCCGTTTCTCCCTGAAATAATACTTGGATGGGCACTAGAGGCCTTCCTTCACCAGTAAAGCTGGAAAAATGCCATATGATCGAAACTGTGTTGGTCCGACATAAAACCCAACCAAAAACAAAACAATAAACCACTTTGCAACAGTATGTTATAATTAAACTGATGATGGTATCCATTTCAGCACCATAATTATGTGATGGCTGTTTTATCTCAATGCTAGTAATTTACATGGAAAGAGATCAGTGGTTCCAATTAATTGCCAGCTTATACCTAAAATAATGTGTGCAGGGATATCCCAGATTTTTCTTTACCAGTAAATCTGGAAAGTTGCCAAATAACTTTAAATTCCTGCAATGGGGAGATCACTCTTGAATAATGATTACAAGAACAAATCCTGTGCACAGATGTTGAAAAAAAATGAAATTCCCAGACTTCTGTTTTCATTGAGTCTGTTTAGGAGAGATAATGTAAAGTGACACATCTGTTACACTCAACAGCCGGAAATCAAAAAAATTCTTTCATACTGGGTCATAACCACTACAACCATCTTTGAAATAAAAAAATTTTTACTTTATTATGACTCTATTTCATGCTGAAAAATAATGTTAATGTCTTGTAGGAAAAATATCAAGTTGCCAAGAAATTTGAAGAGAAGAGCAAGCCTCTGGATTACACTGAATTGGTACCAGCAACAACTATTGATGAGAGGTAAAGCTTTTACATGACCATGATGTCTACTTAAACAAGCTTCTGTTTGACTATGATTTTTTTTTAATTTTTCATCATTAATGTCTTAGTCAAAGTAGATCTATTCAATAAAGAATCAGAAAACCTGAAGATGAATAAACTTGATTAAATAAACACTTCATTTTGCTGTCAAGTGCTAGTTGTTTTTTTACTCTGATTTCATTTTTTCCCAAATGTCTTTTCTCGTGAATGTCATTTTTCCTGAATGTCATTTCTCTTGAATATCATTTTCTTAGATAGTCATCTCACTAGAATGTCATTTTTTTTCTTGATTTTTTTATGTCAAATTTCAGTTTTTACTGACCTTTGATGAGCCAAAAATTTTAAAAAAAAATGTATTAAGGATTTAAGATAAGTAAAATCACGGATTTATATTACAAGGATCGGACACTTTCGTTTAGCTTAAAGTCCCGTCGCGCGCATGCGCGGAATCGGATAAAGGTGGATGTGAATTATTTTCAAATGATTTGAATTACGAGAATGCACAGTATATTCTATGTGTTTTACTTTGCTATTTCTTTCAATGTACAGATCTGTATTTCACTTAGCTCAAACTATCTGATATGACTTGTATCTCTTTTATATATATTTTTATTATCTCATCAAAAAACAACAAGATAATGTCTTATATACATATTATTTTAGAGCGTTTGATACCAGGTACGTCTTTGCTTTACTGTTCAAGAATGATTTATGAACGATAACCAAAATCAAATATTAATTTACGCATCACCCCCCTTTTTTTGTCTATGATTATTAAATGCATGCTTTTATGAATGCTGATCACTGTGGTTATAGGGTTAACATTAATCAATTTAGGAGATGAAAATAAACCCTTCACCTGCTGGCAATGAAAGTAAGTAGCCTTTGCCGCCAGTATAGAGCCAGGCCAGCCTGCACATCCGTGCAGTCTGACCAGGCTCTATACTGTCAGCTAATAAAATTTCATCTATAAATATATAGTATATCCCCAAAAATGAATATGGACAGTTCCAGAAATGGAAGCTGGACAAGTCCATTTAAGAAATTTCAGCAGGTTAAGTGTTAAGCAGCTTAAACCATTATGTCTTAGGTAGAGCATTTGCCTTTTATATTAAAACTGACTGGTTAATTACCTGTCTTAGGTAGAGCGTTTGCCTTTTTATGTCCAAATTGACCGGTTTAATAATCATAGCCAGGTTGTACCAAAACATATTATAAAGGCATTCCTGGAAGCCTTCTAGCTTTTTTCTCACATTAACAGGAATAAATTTCAAACTGGACAATTTGTTGTCATTATAACATGACTGGGTGGGGTATGGTGTCAACTTGTTTTCCTGCATGATAATTTAGAAAATTAGCTGGGTATCAGTTGGGCATGGCTCTCTCTGCAACAATTTGACACCAGGGCCTACATAAATTATATAATGAAGATTGTAGGGAATACATATGTACTAAAATCAAGCACAGACATTTACATCACTTATATCATATATTGCCAAACAAGTACCAGTAAATCTTTTGCATGTATTATATATCTTGTATTATATACTTTTCGTTGTGGTAAAATGGATGTTGAATGTTTTTTATTTCAGATCAGGTCTTGCCTTTTTGTTTAGTTGTTTAGTAATTTATTATTTTTCCTTTTATATTGCCCTAGATAATAAAAAAGCATGGATGCATAAAAAATAGTTAAATAAGGATTTAAATTTTTGCATGCTTAACTATATTGTTAAATGTTCACTTTTCATAAATGAAATACAATAATTATTCCTACATCTTATTTCAAAAAGGAAATCTTCCATGTAATGCACATAAATCACTGGTAACCCTCCACCTCCAATGGGAAGAGCAATGACCTTTACTTATAGTACATGAAGAGCAATGACCTTGACTTTTAGTACACATGAAGAGCAATGACCTTGACTATTAGTACATGAAGAGAAATGACCTTGACTTGTAGTACATGTTACGATTTATATCAAAATCTAGGTAAAAGGTCCTCCTTTCAAAGGGATTGTCAGATGGTAAAAATATCTGCTCTGCAAGTTGGACTTATTCCTTGCAATATGAGCACTTTAACAAAGTCATTGCATCAACCCATACATTATAGGTTATTATTGCCTATTTCTGCCCTGATTTGCCATTAGAATGGGGAGGATTGGTTTTATTTGACTAGTGCATTAAGTGTTATAAAAGATTGATTTTAAAGTCTGATTAATCATGTTAACAATTCATAAAGTTTTGATATGACTTTGTATGGGTATTAGAAGCTGAAAATGTGAACTACCTGCCAAGGTATGTGCCTTTATTTTCAGGTGGTCTCTAGTTTAAGTTTTAAGAAAATCATGTATTGTAACTAAAATATTGAAATATGTAAAGTCTGTATTAATTAAAATTTATTAGTTTTGAAGAGTTTAGATTTTCATCAAAACTGTCAACCAATTATTTAAAATGTTTAATGGGTTTCTTTAAATTTTTAGGGCCAGAGATGACTCAGCAAATTTCGGCAATTTTCCTGATCATCATTCGGACGAGGAGTACAAGAGTGGTCCTGAAAATAGGGCTGATCCTCCGGCACCTTGGTCTGCTTCTAGTAGAGACCTGCCCCCTGTATCTGAAGAAAACGAATCTGATGTTACAAGCCCAAAAAAGTATGTATTTTCCAAATTTTGTTCTTGACACACATAATTGCAAGTCTGTCAATCCTTACACTTTTTAATTGTTTGTCATACCACAGGCATTTCCTGATTGGTATTTATAGTTACAGGATTATTTGCTGACCTGATATTGAATATATGATATTTTGGAAAACCATATCCTTGAGAATATCAGGGGAGTGGTGGCCTAGTGGTTAAGGCGCCTGCCTCTCAACCCAGGAATCATGGGTTCGAGCCCTAATTTGGTCACAACCATGATTCTTCATATGACGCCAGTACTGGTTGTTTCCAGGAAGCGGACTGAAAAATGATAAGTTGCAAGAACTTGTTTCGCAATTGAGCTTGAACAATATGTTTAAGCCATATCTTGGAGAGACCCTGTGACCGATAACTTTCCTCATCATCATTTGGAAAGGATAAACCATGTGTAGGCTGTTGAATCTAGGATACTTTTGCCATTTTGAATTTTTATCCTGCCAAATGTATTCTGTTAGTATGGAATGTAATAGGTAATCATGTGACATCAAAACATCCAATGAGAGAAGAGTATTTTGTAGTTGCTTGATATGTTGATACCACCCAGTGAACCTCTACCCTTTGATCAGTCTCATTTTAAGGCAATGTTGTACTCTTTGTCAAGCCTTAACATTGATCACTCCCCAGTTTTTCCAATATTCATACTGTTTGAAAGGAAGGCATGAAAAATAAATTCTATTTTACAGGACTTAGACTGAGTTCAAAATTTAGCAATTTTAGATTGAAAATGCCATTAAGTATGATTTTTCAATAAGAATTTTGCTTTTGTTTTGTGCATTGAATTTTCATAATTTCCTTTACACCAATACAGGAGTAACATTTGTTTAGAATTTTGCATTTTTGATGCATTTGCATCATTAAGTTTTCCATGTTTAGGACTTGACTTCATAATAAAACACATTCTTGATTGTTTAACTTACAGTAGAAATAAAAACATGGAATGGTATGAGGTTGCCACAGATTCCGAGCTCCCTCCACCAAGGTACCCATGGTTTAAGTTTACAAAGAGTTGAAAAAGAGAACCAGACTGATATTTCAAATCAACAGTTTTTAACCTTCGACCCTTCCACCGCTTTTCTTGTTCAAGCAGTGTTTTTCTCCCATCTTTTCGGAAACAGGTCAGTGACCACTCAAAGGAGAAATGTGTCAACACTTAAAGTGACATTATGCTCATTTTTTCAATGTTAAGCTGAAATTTTCAAAAAGGATGAAGAAAAAGACAGGCAATAGAACAATAATTGATAATGACAAATGGTTAGGCTAAAATTTAAAAGAAATTCCCCACTCTTTTTAAAAAAATGAAAATAACTGTTGATTTCCGTAAAGATATTTATGGAAGTTTATAGTGGTCACAGGGGTTTTTGATTTTTCAGGTGACAAATGCAAAGTATAATTTTGAATTCTGTATGCACACTCTCCATAAAATTACTCTTGGTTTAACATTATGTCACTTACCATAAAAATATTTCTTGGATTAGCATTATGTCACTTTAATCTGCTGACTTTATGTAATGGATTTGCCCTGCTTTGAATTTGGAACTAAGGGATTTCAAAATTACTAACAGTACAGAGCCCAGGCGGAATGCATGGATGGACAGGCTGGTCAAATCGTTCCTGGTTGAAGCAGGTAAAGGGTCAGTTGTAAATCATTTGACACCATTTAGGTTATTTTAGGGAGGTGAGGGATATGTAAAAAAAACAGCTAAAAGTTTACTTTTGAAACCATTTACATTGTACTAGGTAAATAAGGGGGGGGGAATCATGACAGCTACATTATAAGTTAATTCTAATAACATTTTGGAAAATAATTATTTCTAGAAATTGTGAACAGGTCCATTTACTGTAACCATTGAAAAGAGGTAGAAAAACACTGACAAGAGCTGGACATGTACCTTACACTAGGCATATATATATCTCATTTGGCTAGTCATGAGTGTATGATATAACCAAATATTTTATCATGTCTTATTCAACGCAATCTGATATTATAGTGTCTCATTTAAAGACTGGAGTTACAGGAATTTTTTTCGCTAATTTTATAGCCGATATTCAGTCATATTCCAAATTGAAAATATTATATTTTTTCCCAATTCGCAGGAAAAAATTCCCAGTTGTAAGTTACAAAAATAAAACTAGTGAAAACAAATTCTAAAATCTTTGAAAATTAAAGGCATTTTTGATGTGCTTGTTTGAAGATGACATCCTAGACAGTAATTCTTTTCATTCATTTAATCCCTGCAAAATTTTTCCCAAATTTTTAGCAAAACATTCCCATTTCCATGGGTATTGGTCATGTTCCCAAAATCCTGGAGAAAAAAAACCTGAGATGTCACATATTTGAACTGATGTCAGAAACACCATTGCACACTATTTTCCTACACATTTTTAACAATTAACCTGCTAAATTTGTGTAATGGATTATTCCTGCTTTGGATTAGGATCAGTCCATTCAGAGGCAAGGGATTTTAATATTCAGATAATAAAATTGAGCTATAAACAGACCGATGTGCAGGCTGGTCTCAGGCTCTATACTGGTAGCAAAGGTTGATCACTTTTAGTTCCAGTAAAGGTAATCAAATGCTGTGTTTTAACTCTTAACCACCAGGTTTGATCCTGGGACTTATCATGCAGTCTAACAGCTTCAAATTTTCATATTGATACCCCAAAAATTGATAATGAATAGTTCCGAATATGGAAGCTGGACAAGTCCATTTCAAAAATTCAGCAGGTTTAGGGTTAAGGTTGAAATTTGTTTTCATAACACAACATTATAATGCACCTGAAGAATTTGCTATCAAGCTCTAGGTTATCAGGCTTGCCACTGAGACTTGCTCTATTATACTTTAATGTAAGTCTTTAAAAAGTCATCATGGAAATCATTGGTAAAAGTAGGTTTATAGAATATTAAAGAACAAGAGCTGAAAATCATTTCCAATTCAGAAAAAAAGTCCTTCGTATTTTTAGTTTGCAAAAGTACAGTAATCTATTATATATACAAGGCTTGGCTTTAAGTTTTGTCTTAAAGATACAAATATTAGTAAGTATACTGCTATTTAAAGAAGCAGCTGATGGTTAATGGGATAGCTTGACCTTTTGGCAGTTGACCTTTGCACTTTTCCTTGAAATTATTCTGAGCTTAAAAGAAATCATATTCTAGAAGCATATTGTACATGAGACTGCTTAATCACCCACTGCTTTGTGAGTGGATTTATGTGAATAAATGCAAAATTGAGCCGTGTCACGACAAAACCAACGTAATGGGTTTGCGACCAGCATGGATCCAGACCAGCCTGCGCATCCGAGCAGTCTGATCAGGATCAATGCTGTTCGCTTACAAACCCTATAATAAGTAGAGAAACTGATAGCGAACAGCATGGATCCTGATCAGACTGCCAGATGTGCAGGCTGGTCTTGATCCATGCTGGTCGCAAACGCACTATGTTGGTTTTGTCATGATGCGGCTCAAATAATGATACATGTTTGGATATTGGTGCAAAAAGATGAAGACTGGTTCAAGTTCCAAAAGGTGGAAATTAAAAGATGTTAGTGAAATATTTCGAATACTGGGGACTGGTGGCATTTAATGCAGGGTTTTCATTATTAACAGAATGTAGATCCATATCATCGGATAAAGTGCTGTTACAATTTGTTGTATTTTCAGCCTGTTGTTTAAAATAACTCCCTTGACCCTTGGCCGAAATTGGTTGTTCTTGTTGGCTTATCTATTGCCTCAGATAAAAATTTAATGGTTGATTAGTTGAAATAAAGAGGAAAATATTGCAAACTTATGCGCTTGTAAGCTGCAGATTGTTGAAGTTTGTGAATAAATGTATTTGGATAGGAATAAATAAGTTTCCCAAGTCTGCTAGTGAAATTATCCTAGCCTCATTTTAAAGGTGCTAGATTATATCTATAGGCATGCAGCTTTCAGAATTTAGCTACAGGTGTATAGAAAAGATGATGATATTGATGTTAAACTTATAAGATATTTTCAAAAATTTACATTACATGTACTGATGTTTTTAAGCTTTAATATTTCAAACAAAAAAGGTGCTTTATTTACTGCACAAATAGGAATAACAATAATTAAGTTGCTTTTAAAACACTTATTAGTTGAGTGAGCATAAATGATTTCTTTAATTAAATATCAAGAACTCAAGTTTCAATGAAGCAGATGCCGCAAAAACATCCTTAATTTATAAACATAGAATAGTATTTTTAGAAACTGTTATTTTTTTTTATTAAAACAACAACAACAACAAAAATACACCTATCTGCAATACATTTTCAATCATGTGGGAAATTAAATAGATACTAATTCATATGTTTTGATAATAAATGGATATGATGTTGTTTTTTTCTTTTTTTTTTAAATACTTCAGTTTGTCCGGAAGTCATGGTATTGCAAGTCTACGAGCCATCGATCCTGAAGGCAGTTTGCTAGAACAGAATGGTGCTCAAACCAAACTGAATACACTGAATGAACAGGATAGTAAAACTGAGGTCCAGTCCATGGAAAAGGCAGGCGAGTACAGTGTGAACTATCTGTTTGGTGCATCCCCGCTCCCCGACACCTGTTTATCATGCCGAGACTGATAATGTGGTGTCGGAGGACACTGATAGTAAGTCGGTTTTATAAAATCGTAAACTTCAGATTTACCTTCGTATTTCAAACTGTCTATGGCTTGGTAAAAATGGATGATATAATCGTTTTTTATGGCTTTTAGAAAAAATGAATTATAGACGTTTCTTGCACTTTTTTCTTTAATATATGTATTCATATTCAGTGTATCTTTCTTTATACAGTTCTTTTCTGTTTTCTTGATATAATAATACTATTCTAACAGGTTTTCTTCATTAAAGAAGGATCAGAATTAAGTGTTCCTGCCTACTTATAACAGAATGTTCTTCTATGTATAATAGTAAATAGTTAAATTTATCTTTTGGTTTGATCCAGAAATACCCAAAATATTTTTATAAATCTGATAATTAATAATATTATTATCATGATGTCCTCCTTTAATTTGTATACCTGTGTAATGGTCAATTGTTTCATCTGTTTAATTGTAAAATATTATTTATTAAATGTAATCCAGCAACATTTCAGGATTACTAAAATAACCCATGGTAATGTCATAGCCGCGCAGCTCATACAACTTGTGACCGTGTAAATGATGTACTTTTAATTTTATAGTACACCAAGTGCATTGAAATAATTGTGGATAAAAAAAGATAAAATTCTAGGAATAATATATAAATCATAAAAAAATTATCAAAATTTTTCTTAAAATTGATGTATCAGAGGGATATGAATAAATAATAAGGGAAATAATGACATTGTCTTTTATAGGGAAATACAGTTAAACTTTGTTCGCTCGAACTCAGATCACTGGAATACTTGTATGATACTTGTATGTGTGTTTATTTTAGTTAATGGCTACAAAATAGATGCTGCTGAAAATATTTTGTTAAGTCATTGTTTGAAATAATTTTTATCCCATAATAAAGATATAAATATATTTTGAGTTTGGATAATGATTGCCCATTGTCTAAAATCGATATGGAAATACTAGCATTGTCTTTATATAGGGAAATAATCACAATATTTTTAATGGGGAAATAATTACATAGTCTCTTATTGGGAAATTTAATAAATGTCTTTGGTATGAAAATTCTAGCATTGTCTTAGAGGGAAATAATGACATTGTCTTTTATAGGAAAATAATGACATTTAACAGTCTTTGGAGCAATGTCTTAGAGGGAAATAATTGATAGGGAAATGATGGCATTGCCTTAAAGGGAAATGATGACTGTCTTTTATAGGGAAATAACAACATTGTATGTTTTAAGGAAGTTAAAACATTGTTTTATGGGAATTATGTCCTAGCCTGTAGGTAAATAAAACATTGTCTTTCATATTGAATTAATGCCATTACCTCCCATATCAAATATTGGCATTGACGGTCTTTGTTATGGATATAATGGAATTGTCTTTGTCTTTTTCTTACAGAGAGTGCAGATTAAGTCTTGGCAATCGTTGAATTCTTCCTGCACTTAGTAAATTATTTTGGTTTAACCCCTAATACTAATAATACATACTTTAAACTAATGAAATGCTGTGGGGTTTTCTAGGTGTTTTTTATCTTCACTAGTCTAGTTTGATTACAAAATAACACAGTTGTTGTGTGAGATATTTTTCTTTATTATTGTACCAAATATTCATATAAACATAAACAAATTGTAGGTAAATAAAACCATGATTTAAATATTTTTCACAGCAGACTCATCCTCTGATAGTCAGGATGAGATTGAGAGTAAGTTATTAAAGCAATTAGAGTAATCCCCCCTGTCATTGAGGTGTCGTCTGATGAATGATTTTGTAGTCTGCTAATGATTTTATTGTGTGCTCAATGAAATTTTTTTGTTACCTCATAGATCATGTCATTCTGTTGTCAGTACTGATACCTTAGTTTTGTCTTGTGCACAATGATTTGGTTGCAAGTTGTATTTTTTCTGTTTTATTTGTAATGATCTTGTTGTAAAATATATTTGTCAAAATGAATTTTATTGTCAGATTGAAAAATCTGGTATTTTGTGAAATGACTTTGTTGTCAATTGAATAATTCTTGTTATTTTCCCCTTTGAGGATTTTGTCAAGTAAATAATTCTGTCTTTTGCACAATTATTCTGTCTTTTGCACATTTATTCATCTTTTGCACACTTATTCTATCTTCTGCAAAGTTATTCTGTCTTTTGAACAATTATTTTGTTCTCAAAAGAATATATTCAAAGAGTAATTGCAAATTTAAATTTGTTGCCAACTGGATAATTCTGGTTTTTAGCACATTTATAATGTTTTCATTATGGAATGACTATTTCTTGCTAAATTTATTTTTAAGAAAACTGTATTAGTTACTTTTGTTCAATGATTTGGTAGGCTATAGACTAATTTTTATTTAGCTCCACTTTTCTAACAAAGCTTTTTAATTGAAACTTTATATGTACATGCACCTTGATGAGTCTTACCTGCCACACAAAAGGTCTCTTAACAAAACATACCAAGAAATCAAAGTGCAATGACGAAAAGAAATTTCAAACACAAGTTCTGTCTGCTACACCTATTTTAGGGTTATAAGGTCAAATGTATTTTAGGGTCATAAGGTCAAATGTCAAGGTCACTTGTACCTTAGATATGTTAAATTCATGTTCTCAGAAACTATCAGAGCTCTTTGTTTTCGAAATCTAATTGGTATTATTTTCCATCATGATAAACCTATTTTTAAAAGAAATGTATCTAAGTTCTTCACTTTAAACTTTTAAGTATTGTTCATTATCAAAATGAAATATTTCTTAACGGGCAGATAATCCTGAAAGTCATTTTTGCTTAATTATCTCCCTTTGCCAAAATATTCACTTCAAACTTGAACTACATGTTTAATGTTACAGGCGGGTTATATTGCCAATAAGTTGGTGTCATCTTTTCAATAAGAACAATATTTTATTCTACACAATAATTCTGTTTATCTTTCAAAAAATTTGCACAGTAATTATGTAAGTTTTTACGGGGGGTATATTGCTTTGCACTTGTCGGTCCGTCGGTCCGTAGACCAAATGGTTTCCGAGTGATAACTAAAGAACCCTTAGGCCTAGGAACTTCAAACTTGGTATGGTGATTGGTCATGACCAGTAGATGACCCCTATTGATTTTGGGGTCAAGGGGTCAAAGGTCAAGGTCACATTGACCTTGTAAGCAAAAACGGTTTCCGATCAATATCTAAAGGACCTTAAGGCCTAGGAACTTCAAACTTGGTATGGTGATTGGTCATGATCAGTAGATGACCCCTATTGATTTTGGGGTCAAGGGGTCAAAGGTCAAGGTCACATTGACGGTTTCCGATCAATAACTAAAGAACCTTAAAGCGTAGGAACTTAAAACTTTGTATGGTGATTGGTCATGATCAGTAGATGACCCCTCTTGATTTTGGGGTCAAGGGGTCAAAGGTCAAGGTCACATTGACCTTGTAAGTAAAAACGGTTTCTGATCAATAACAAAAGAACCCTTAGGCCTAGGAACTTCAAACTTGGTATGGTGATTGGTTATGACAAATCAGATGACCCCTATTGATTTTTGGCGTTAAGGGGTCAAAGGTCAAGGTCACATTGACCTTGTAGGTAAAAACGGTTTTCGATCAATAATGAAAGAATCCTTAGGCCTAGGGACTTCAAACTTGAGATGGTGATTGGTCATGATCAGTAGATGACCCCTAATGATTTTGGGGTCAAGGGGTCAAAGGTCAAGGTCACATTGACCTTGTAGGTAAAAACGGTTTTCGATCAATAACTAAAGAACCCTTAGGCCTAGGAACTTCAAACTTGGTATGGTGATTGGTCATGACCAGCAGATGACCTATTGATTTTGGGGTCAAGGGGTCAAAGGTCAAGGTCACATTGACCTTGAAAGCAAAAACGGTTTCCGATCAATAACTAAAGAACCTTAAGGCCTAGGAACTTCAAACTTGGTATGGTGATTGGTCATGATCAGTAGATGACCCCTATTGATTTTGGGGTAAAGGGGTCAAAGGTCAAGGTTACATTGACCTTGTAAGCAAAAACGGTTTCCGATCAATAACTAAAGAACCTTAAGGCCTAGGAACTTCAAACTTGGTATGGTGATTGGTCAATGATCAGTAGATGACCCCTATTGATTTTGGGTCAAGGGGTCAAAGGTCAACGTCACATTGACCTTGAAAGCAAAAAAACGGTTTCCGATCAATAACTAAAGAACCTTAAGGCGTAGGAACTTCAAACTTTGGTATGATGATTGGTCATGATCAGTAGATGACCCCTATTGATTTGGGGGGTGAAGGGGTCAAAGGTCAAGGTCACATTGACCTTGTAAGTTAAAAAACGGTTTCTGATCAATAACGAAAAGAACCCTTAGGCCTAGGAACTTCAAACTTTTGTATGGGTAATTGGTTATGACCAATCAGATGACCCCTATTGATTTTGGCGTTAAGGAGTCAAAGGTCAAGGTCACATAGACCTTGTAGGTAAAAACGGTTTTCGATCAATATTGAAAGAATCCTTAGGCCAAGGGACTTCAAACTTGAGAATGGTGATTGGTCATGATCAGTAGATGACCCCTATTGATTTTGGGGTCAAGGGGTCAAAGGTCAAAGGTCACATTGACCTCTTAGGTAAAAAAACGTTTCCGATCAATAAACTTAAGAACCCTTAGGCCTAGGGAACTTCAAACTTGGTATGATGATTGGTCATGACCAGCAGATGACCTATTGATTTTGGGGTCAAGGGGTCAAAGGTCAAGGTCACATTGACCTTGTAAGTAAAACGGTTTCTGATCAATAACTCAAGAACACTTAGGCCTAGGAACTTCAAAACTTGGTATGGTGATTTGTCATGACCAGCAGATAAACTCCTATTTGATTTTGGGATCAAGGGGTCAAAGGTCAAGGTCATAATGACCTTGTAAGTAAAAACGGTTTCTGATCAAATAACTAAAGAACGCTTCAGCCTAGGAACTTCAAACTTGGCATGGTGATTGGTCATGACCAGCAGATGACCCCTATTGATTTTGGGGTCAAAGGTCAAGGTCACATTGACC